GCAGAGTTTATCATACACTTTAGGTCACTGAATTCCTTAATTTACTTATTGTGAATATCTTAGTTTATTAATCATCTATCTTAATTATATCACTCTCTCATTAGACTAATAATATAACCAAATCTTTTTTTTTAAGAAGAAGATTAAATTATATATTTAAGTAAATTTAATGTAAAATTTATGTGTTATTTCATTTCTTTGCATTTAAATCAATTAAACTAATGTATAATTTGTCTTTGAATTATCACAATTTTTTATACATTATTTAATGACATAGTAATAGTGAAAAATAAAAAAATACCTTTTAAAAACCTACCTTTTCCATTTTTGTAAGGAAGAATGTTCTCCATTTTAACTGATTTTGTTTCATAAAACTATCCAATATTTTACATTATTGTCTTGAAGGAACATAATGTTTAATAAAGATTTCAATATGCCACACAAATCTAATTGTTGTTTCAGTTCACAAAAATTTAAAATTTAAAAGCTGTAAAAAGTCTAGAATATCAAATCCATATTTTCCAAATTGAAAGTTATTTTCACTCTGTAGAAGCTTCTGTTAAACAAAGTATCCTCTTCCAGAGAATTTTCATGTGCTAGTTTTTTTTTGTGAACATTGGAAAGTAGAGGCACAGTTTTTTTTTAAACCATTGTGAATTACATGTTCTCTCACAGATGATGTAAAGAGGCGTTATCAGTTATATAATATTCATATTTAAAGAAGTGACATTTTTCTTGAAATCTTTAGTAACAATGATGATATATTTTAGTGAATTTTAAACTATAATACATCATACAGATTGGAATGATGAAGTTTGAACACTTTTATAATAGTTTATCTCAAATATATTGTAAATAAGTGAATATTTTCATATGTCAGCATCAGTGTTTGAGCTGTGACATGACAAAACCAACATAATGGGTTTGCGACCAGCATGGATCCGGACAGGCCTGCGCAGTCTGATCAGGATCCATGCTGTTTGCTATCAGTTTCTCTTCTAGTTATAGGGTTTGTAAGCAAACAGCATGGATCCTGATCAGACTGCGCAGATGCTCAGGCTGGTCTGGATCCATGCTGGATGCTAATGCATTATGTTGGTTTTGTCATGACGAGGCTCGTTTATACTTTATGTTCCTTTCCACTTCAGAAAAAAATGTCATTCAAGAAAAGTACTCTGAATTAGTACATATAAGAGATAGTATTTTAGAAGAAGTGCAGTGCAAAAAACCCTGAACTCTGTCTTGCCTAATTTTGGAGTTATTGCCCTTTGTTCATTTTTTTCACTTTGAACTTTGCTGGGACATTACTCTGACACCATATGAACAAGAACATTTGTAGGTAGATAGATCTCAATAACTTGAAGTGCAGTGCAAAGAAAATTAACTCTGCCCTATGGAATTATCTTACTTTGAACTTTGTTCAAGCTACAATGGTATTTTTTTCTGTGTCCAAAACCTATTTGGGGAGCATTACCAAGTTTTAAACTGGCTCTTGTAATAACAGCTGACCGAAATTTTGACAAGTGACCTACTTTCTCGTCTTTTGATGTACAGCCATGAAATTTGGACTATGTGCTAAGATTATGTAAATTGAACTTTGAAATCAGCTTACGTAAATTTTGACAAGTGACCTTTTTCTAATCCTATGATGTACAGCTATGAAATTTGGACCATTTGAATAGTAAAAGGTGTAATATCAGCCAAATTAGATTTTGATGGTCCAACCTTCTTTCTGTCCTTTTATTACAGCTTTGAAAATTTGAACCATGTGCACAGATTATATAAATCAGCTAACCTAGATTTTGACAGTTATTTACTGTTTAATCCTATGATAATTATACAATATGAAATTTGGACCATTTGCACAGTTTTAGCTTTCATGTCAGCTGACTTAGGTTTTGACAAGCAACCTCACAGCTTTCTTGTCTGTTGATATGCCGCTGTGAAATTTGGACCATGCGCACAGATTTTGTAAAATGAACTTTGAAATCAATGACCTATATTTGGATGATGCAACCTTACTTTCTTGTCCTTTGATGCACAGCTATGAAATTTCGGACATGTGCATATTTAATTTTATAGATGTAAAATTGAACTTTGGTATCATCTAACCTAGATTATGATGAAGTGACCTCCTTTGGCTTTTGTATATACAGCTATCACATTTTGACCATGTTCACAATAAATTTCAGCTGGAAAATTTAACCATGTGCACAATGTCAGCTGTAAAATTTAACCATGTGCACAATTTCAGCTGTAAAATTTAACCATGTGCACAATTTCAGCTGTAGAATTTAACAGTGTGCAAAAAAGCAGGTGTAGAACTGTTATTATGCTCCCACTTTGAAGAAGAGGGGGTATATTGCTTTGCACTTGTCGGTCCGTCCCGTCCGTCGGTCCGTAGACCAAATGGTTTCCGAGTGATAACTAAAGAACCCTTAGGCCTAGGAACTTCAAACTTGGTATGGTGATTGGTCATGATCAGTAGAGGACCCCTATTGATTTTGGGGTCAAGGGGTCAAAGGTCAAGGTCATATTGACCTTGTAAGCAAAGACGGTTTCCGATCAATAACTAAAGAACCTTAAGGCCTAGAGACTTCAAACTTGATATAGTGATTGGTTATGATCAGTAGATGACCCCTATCAATTTTGGGGTCAAGGGGTCAAAGGTCAAGGTCACATTGACCTATTAGATAAAAACGGTTTCCGATCAATAACTAAAGAACCCTTAGGCCTAGGAACTTCAAACTAGGTATGGTGATTGGTCATGACCAGTAGATGACCCTTATTGATTTTGGGGTCAAGGGGTCAAAGGTCAAGGTCAAATTGACCTTGTAAGCAAAAACGGTTTCTGATCAATAACTAAAGAACCTTAAGGGCTAGGGACTTCAAACTTGATATGGTGATTGGTCATGATCAGTAGATGAACTCTATTGATTTTGGGGTCAAGGGGTCCAAGGTCAAGGTCACATTTACCCTATTAGGTAAAAAACAGTTTCCGATCAATAAATAAAGAACCCTTAGGCCTAGGAACTTCAAACTTGTATGGATGATTGGTCATGACCAGCAGATGACCTATTGATTTTGGGTGTCAAGGGGTCAAAGGTCAAGGTCACATTGACCTTGTAGGTAAAATCAGTTTCCGATTAATTAACTAAAAACGCTATAGGTCTCCAGGTACACTTCAAACTTTGTATGTATGTTGAATCCATTGACGACCAGCAGTATGACGCACCACTATGTTAGTATGTTTTGAAAGATTCAGAAGAATGCCATTTTTTAAAGTGATCAAGGTCAACATTGAACCCTTTGTGAAGTAAAAACGGCGCTATCTGATCAACTTGAAAACAACTAAGAATCGCTTAGGCTCTTAGAACTTCCCAATTCTTTGTTGATGGTGATTGTCATGATCAGGCAGATGACCCCTATTTGATTTGGGATCAAGGGGTCAAAGGTCAAGTCACATTGACGCTTCGTAAGTAATAATAACAGTTCTCTGATCAAAATTAATCTACAATGGCACGCTTAGGCCTAGAAATTTTCAAACTTTGTAATGATGATTGTACAATTGCCAGCAGATGACCCACCTATATGAATTTGGGTGTCGAAGGGGTCCAAGGTCAAAGGTCACCAGATGACCTTGCTACAAAGTAAAAACGGCATTCCGATCAGTAACTAAAGAATGCTTAGGCCTAGGAACTTAAAACTTTGTTTGATGATTGGTCATGACCAGTAAATGACCCTTATTGATTTTGGGGTCAAGGGGTCAATGTCATATTGACCTTGTACTTAATGACGGTTTCTGACCAATAACTCAACAACTCAAGTTGCCTTGGTTGATATTTTTATATTAAACTTAAAATGCTTTTGGTATACACATTTGAAGGTCTTTATGTAATATATACAACTTAGCTGTCATTAATGAGGCCTACATGATTCATAAAAATTTATGCATATATTATTTGGTAAGATTTGTAATAACTTAAATTGCTGCACACAACCTAAGGGGTCACAATAATTATTACCTTGTGACTAGTCATGACCTATAGATACTAGATAACCCTTATTAATTGTTTGTTCACTGGTCAGAAGTCATGCATAATAACCTGATCACATGACTAATTGGCTGCCGATAGGGGGCATACATGTTTTACAAACATATCTTGTATAATATCAAATGACCTAGATATTGACCTTTAAGTGACATACTCTACTAATGTTTTTGATGTACAGCTATGAAATAAGGATCATATATATAATTTAATAATTAAAAGATATACATTTTTGTCATAGTAAGTTGATGGTCAAGTGACCACATTATTCTCGAAAATCTTCTTGTAACTTAGCCACAACTACCACTAATATTCCAATTCTCTCACCACAATAACAGTCTGACCTCCAGTTGAACGCTTGTCGGTCACCAAGGTCCGCCTTGTATTTGAATGGTTTAAGACTAATGTGTTTTAACATCAATGATCACAATGTACTGTGCTAGTTCTTGACTATCTACATAAAATTCATAGTATTTTATCGCATGCGATGATTCATCTGTGGTTTCATTGATAAAAAGGATGAATAATAGAGCTAGAATAACAGCATTACATATTGTTCTTGAACACATACATTTTTATTTTGCCTGTTGTTCTAGTTTATTGAAACAGACGTGCCTTTTTTGACTTTTGGTTATGTTTCTTAGAACCACCTAATTCTTTGCCTATACTCTTGGAAGTGTTGCTTTGCAACTTAAAATACTTATATGTTAGTGACAATTATCCCCACTTCCTGTCTAGTACAAACAGCTCTTCATTAAAATTTTATTTTAATTGTCTCCAAGTAAACAGAAACTTGTTGCTACTAAAACAATTTTACATCAGAGCTTCATTGGCTTTGTTTTACAATTTTCATTCATATATTATTGTTTCTTGCAGACAAAAATGTTGCCAAAGTCCCTCTCTACTAAATTTGTTTTATGTATCTAAGATTGAATGATCTATTTTCAGATTTAAGAAGAGAGTTGGACGAATCAGTAGAGAAATATAGGAGTTTACAGATGGAAAATCATCAATTTAAGGAACAGTTCAAGTAAATATCTGTCCTAGCTGTCTGGTTGACTTCTTTAATACATTTTTGAGTGAATAATGATATGCGAGTCTAATGGAGCAGCAAGAGACAATAGAGAACTATCAAGTAGACAATAATCAACAAAAGATGCTGATTAAGAACCACAATGGATCCAGACAGCCTTCGTCATCACGCGTCCAGATTGTCAGGAATCCATAGCTGTTCGCTACCAACTCTATTTCAAGTTGAGATAAAATAGATAGCGACGACTATGATACTCTGATAGATACTGGTCATGAAGATCAAAATAACGCTCTGGATATAGCAAACCCATATATGATATAGGATTTCTCCAATGATAGGAACTACCAAACAAAGCAAACTGTTGAATAATAAGGATATATTAAATAAGGACTCAATGTTATAAACAAATCCAACTGTAAGAATAGACGGTATAGGATGTTTAAGATTCTCACATAAATAGCTTACTCTTTAGCAATATAGATTCAAATAATCATTTCTTAAGATTTTCCTTATCAAGTGTACATGCACGAAACACCAACACCTATATATGATTTACTACGTCACTTCTTCTATGATACTGCTCGAAAGTATGTAATTTCGTTTACTTGTTGTCTACGTAAGTTTTATCTTTTATTACTATTGATTTTATGTTTTCTACTTTCTTGAATTGGTCTTTAATTTTGTAAGCTTATTGTGGAAAATGTGTTATAATAATTTCATGTAATAAATATAACTAAACCAAAAAAGACAATCTTTCGGCAAAGTGATGGCCAGTTGTCTCAAGGGGTACCACTTAGATGTACACACTTATATACATGTAGTAGCTTGTAAAACTCGTTTTGTTTGTCAGCTTTAATCCCGTATATAAAGCCTGATATGTTAATTTATTCAACGTAAAAATCGAGTTTCAAAAGGATTCTTGAAAAAACTGTACTAAATATCTACATTCAAATTGAAGAAAAGTTTACTTTCTGTTCAGTATATTAATTACTGCGCTTCTTAATGTAATCTGTTAAATGAAACTTGGCTGCTCTAACTGATAAATACTACATTATCGATAAGACATTACCTTATTTGAAAAGGTTTCTCTTCCACTGCTTAACTATTCAACGAGAGTCTTGCGTTATTATATCAGCTGACAATTAATAAACCAATCATCACACGGCATAAATCCACTCTCACCTCTATTAGTGAGATCAAGTTAGATCTGGTTATAGCTGATTTACAGCTCTTATCAATTCAACCAAATCAACAAAAAACTTAGCTAGTTATATTAATCTATTAATTTATTATTGAGTATTTAGTTTTTCAGTTAAAACGATCACCTACAATACGTCCTATTACATTAAAATACTTTCAGTTAACATGCAGACAACTGATAATTTGTCCTAATCATCATGTATCGGTATATACACGGTTAAATAAACAAAAAACATGTTCAATGACAGCATATTTATTGTTTGGTTTTATTAACCTGTCAATTACATACTGATTACACGGTCGATGCACACAATATATTAATCTTCTGTAGATTTTCGGAAAGTTCCGTGAGATGTACGTTGTACGATGGAATTTAATTTAATTTGTATCTATGAACTAAGTGTACTGATCGTTATAGCGCAATAGGGTAAAGCACGAGTTTATAATCTAAGTGTCATAGATGTTTTTAGTTCGAGACCGCGTTGGTCCATGTTTTTTTTCATTTCTATAAATACTTTCAACATTATCATAGCTACACATGATTATTTTTTGTGTTCGTTTTGTTTTATTATCTTTTGCTTAATTTTGTAAATTCTATACTCTTTTTAAATAACATGTTTTAAGAATTCATGTTTAAAATTAAAACGGATTAAAACCAATAAATGTCTTTTCAATGCCGTAAAACACACTACAAATCGGTTCCATTAAAATATACTGCAAAAATAAAGAGAGAGTAAAGCCTTAAAGAATTTCATCAGTAAGGATCGAACCACAGACCTCTCAATTATCAGGCATTCTCTTAACCGACTGCACTATTGCGAATTAATGAAAACCTTCACATTAAGCTGGCCTGACTTTCAAAACATGACGTATATACTCCACATTAATTCCCGTAAACTACACGGACCAAACCGAAGTGGGGTCGAATATTCAAATGAGTGCTTTAATGTATTCATAATTGACAGGTCAATAAAATCAGACAATAATACTGTATGTGTATAAATATATAAAGTGTGAATAATAATGGCAAAATTGCGCGTAGACACAAGATAGTGTACAAATACAAAAGGGTATGTTTATTGCACCGGTCAAACTACAATAGTTTTAATTTATAAAAAAAAACAAGCTATTATTAGGATGAGCAAAAATCATGTAAACATGATATTTATTTAAACAAAGAGAACAAGCCAAGTAACTTTTTTTTCTTTTTGTTTTTCTGAATTAAATATTTTATTCACGACAGATATATAAAGAAAAAGTCCCATCTACAAAGCTGATAATGGTACATGGTAATGTAATTATACAATACTGGTAGTTGACATATTTTGACATAGGCTCAATTTTTTTGCTTTTTTTTAATCTGCGGTGTCGTTATGAACTGCAGAAATAGCAGAAATAAAGTTCCCACAGAAAAAAGTCCTTATACAGTATTGTATGATAGATTATATTTTGTATATTGTGTGATAGAATGAGATATATATTTTGTTAAATGAGCCATGTCATGACAAAACCAACGTAATGCTTTTGCAACCAGCATGGATCCAGACCAGCGTGTGCGTCCGCGCAGTCTGATCAGGATCCATGCTGTTCCCTTACAAACCCTTTTACAAGTAGAGAAACTGATAGCAAACAGCATTGATCTTGATCAGACTGCGCGGATGCGCAGGCTGGTCGGGATCCATGCTGGTCGCAAACGCATTACATTGGTTTTGTAGTGATGCGGCTCAAATATTGTATTGATATGAATTAATGTTAATATTATAACAGAAGTAAGAGCAGTGAGATGGAGGAGATAGCAGCTGTACAGAGACGTAAAGAAATGGCCATGGAAATGACTACACAAAAGTTTGTACTATATTTCTTTTTATTAAACTTACTTTAAAGCTACATAAAATAAATATGTTAAAATATTTTTGCCGTCGGCCTAAAAACCAAGCAGTCTACAGTTTCATTAAACTTTTTAACAGTACCGTTGTAAATCTCATCAAATATTGTTCATAAATCAGGATTTTAAATGGAAATTCCCACAGAAACACTAAAGTTCGGATACGAATTTTAACATGCAAATGAAGACTATAATCACTGCCAGTGTATGTGCTATGTCACGGTGTTCTAGTTGCAAGCCGGAACACAGCAAATTTAAGATTTTCTTGTGCAAACACATTTTTATGCCACCGCAGCATCTGCGATGCGGTGGCATATAGCGATTCACCTGTGTGTGTGTTTGTTTGTGTGTGTGTGTGTTATATAGATTATATAGTGAACTTAAAAAATCTTCTTGTGAAAAACCACTTGTCCAATTTCAACCAAACTTGGCATGATTGATCCTTGGGTGAAGGGCTTCCAAAGTTGTTCAAAGAATTTCATTCCATGCAGAAATCTGGTTACCATGGCAACCAAAAGGAATTATATGAATAAATTTAAAAAATCTTCTTGTAAAGACCCAGAAGGCCTAGAGCTTAGATATTTTGCATAAGGCATTGTCTGGTTGACCTCTACCAAGATTGTTCAAATTATAGCCCTGGGGTCAAAATCGGCCCCACCCTGGGGGTCATTGATTTTCACTATATGTACATATAGTAAAAACTTAAAATACCTTCTTGTAAAGACCCAAAAGGCCCAGAGCTTAGATATTTTGCATAAGGCATTGTCTTGTAGACCCTTACCAAGAGTGTTCAAATTATAGCCCTGGGGTCAAAATCGGCCCCGCCGGGGGGGGGGGGGTCATTGAATTTCACTATATGTACATATAGTAAAAACTTAAAATACCTTCTTGTAAAGACCCAAAAGGCCTAGAGCTTAGATATTTTGCATAAGGCATTGTGTAGTGAACCTCTAGCAAGATTGTTCAAATTATAGCTTTGGGGTCAAAATCGGCCCGCCCCTGGGGTCATTGGTTTTCTTTATATGTATATTGTAAAAACTTATAGTAAAAACTTTAAAAACATTTCTTCTAGCAATTGACAATGCTAGAGGTTAGATATTTTGCATGAAACATTGTGTAGTGAACCTCTAGCAAGATTGTTCAAATTATAGCCCTGGGGTCAAAATTGGCCCCACCCCCAGGGGTCGTTGATTTTCACTATGTACATATAGCAAAAATTAAAAAATCTTCTTGTCTGAAGGTACTAGGCTTAGAGCTTTGATGTTTGGTATATAATATCATCTATGGGTCCTCTACTAAAGTTGTTTTAATTATGCCCTTAGTGAAAAAATTGCCCTGCCCTAGAGGCGATAGTTTTCCTTATATGTATAAAGTAAAAACTTGAAAAACCTTCTTCTCTGAATTGACAAAGGCTAGAGGTTAAATTTATGGCATGAGACTTTGGGAAGTGAACCTCTACTAAGATTGTTCAAATTATAGCCCTGGGGTCAAAATTGGGTCCGCCCCGGGTTCATTGATTTTCATAATGTACATATAGTAAAAAAAAAAAAAAAAAAGCTATTTTTGTCTGAAGGTACAAGGCATAAAGCTTTGATATTTGCTATATAATATCATCTGTAGGTCCTCTACCAAAGTTGTTCAAATTTTTCCCCTGGTGTCAAAATCGGCCCTGCCTGGGGGCAGTGATTTTCATTAAGAACACATAATAAAAACAGAAAATAAAACAAATGTTTTCTGAATGGGAGAAAGCTGCAGCTTAGATATTTGACTTGAAATGTTGTTTAGTGGACCTGTATCAAGATTGTTTTGAATTAAACCCTTGGGTCAAAATTTTGCCTTGCCCACAGGGACAGTGACCTACTTTCTTGTCCTTTGATGTACAGCAATGAAATTTTGACCATGTGCACAGTTTTAGTTGTAAAATTGAACTTTTATATGAAGTGACCTAGATTTTGATTATGTGACCTACTTTCTTGTCCTTTGATGTACAGCTATGAAATTTGAACCATGTGCTGTAAAGTGAACTTTGATATCAGCTGACCTAGATTTTGACAAAGTGTCTTACTGTGTTGTCCTTTGATGTAGTCATGAAATTTAGGCTGTCGTCTGCTTATCTTTCTGCAAGGGAATGCTAGCAGTTTATAGTAATACGTTGGTTTTGCATTGGTACCGGCTCATCCAGACAATAATATACGAGGTTAATAAAAGACCCGTTGTTCAATAGTATTTGTTCCTACACTTCTATTTAGTGTTGTATTAATGCGGTGGCATAGCATTTTCTCAAATGCAATCTTGTTACCGTTTAAGCTTCACGGTGCACGAGGCCTGTGGTTCAGAAAAAAATAATCAACTCATAAAAAAGATTAAATTTGTATGAAAAATCTATATCTGTTACAATGCTGATATATACCGTTAAATTAGAACTGCTACTTATAGTCATGTATGTTGATTTAATATTGATATACGGATGATATTGAGGCGGAGTTTCTCATGCAAACAGAAATTGTACTTCTGAATTCGCCACAAGGAAGTTGCACATTTGTATGCTCATTAAAACTTATTGTGGTTGTCTGGACACCAAAATAAGATCTGGAGTTGAATTGAAACCCAATTTATTCATGAAATGTCGCTATTTCTTTTTTTATGAAATTTATTAAATGTATTTTTAGGCTAATCAGTTTTTCCTATGGAAAATGGTAATTAAATGTGAAATTTTTTCAGGCAAGTCAAAAGTTAGATCATTATGCACAGATTCTAGGTCACAGTTTTAAGGTCAAAAGTAGGATGATTTGATTTCCTTACCAAATAATACATCCTAATTTTATGGAAAGATTATTCTTTGGTAACATTTGTTGCATAAAGATTGTGCACTGAGGTATACATTAATGTAGTAAACATGCATTAACAAATAAAATCATGTTATAGTCTGATTTTATTAACCTGTCAATTATGAATACATTATAGCAATCATTTTAAATATTCGATTCCACCTCGGTTCTGAAAAGTCACACAATCTGAATGTTTAGGTTCGCGTCATATCCGCAATAGCATAGTCGGTAGAGTGATTACCTAATATATTAAGAGGTTAGTGGTTCGATCCCTACTTAAAGCTTGCCAATTCCTACTTTTGCCATTGTTTTAAGACCTATCCTTTATTTTTAACCAGGTTTTCCGAAGGAAAAAACTGGTTATTAGATTGAGGTATGTCGGCGGGCGGGCGGGCGGATGGGCGGACGGGCGGGCGTAAACAATTTCTTCTGTGCAATTGGTATATATTTGACCTAATTATGGCCCTTTGTTTTTTTTCCTTATATAGAATATATTTAACCAGGTTTTCCGAAGGAAAAAACTGGTTATTAGATTGAGGTATGTCGGCGGGCGGGCGGGCGGCGGGCTGGCGTAAACAATTTCTTCTGTGCGCAACTCCTCCTACATTTCTCAACGGATTTTGACCAAACTTTCATAGAAGCTTTGTCATCAAGTGCCCTGGCGCATATTGTCGGGGTTTTGCGATTAGATAATATTTGACCTAATTATGGCCCTTTGTTTTTTTTCCTTATATAAAATATATAGTGAACAATTTCTTCTGTGCGCAACTCCTCCTACATTTCTCAACGGATTTTGACCAAACTTTCTCAGAAGCTCTGTCATCAAGTGCCCTGACACATATTGCCAGGGTTTTGCAATTGGTATATATTTGACCTTATTATAGCCCTTTGTTTTTTTTCCTTATATAGAATATATAGTGAACAATTTCTTCTGTGCGCAACTCCTCCTACATTTCTCAACAGATTTTGACCAAACTTTCTCAGAGGCTCTGTCATCAAGTGCCCTGACACATATTGCCAGGGTTTTGCAATTGGTATATATTTGACCTAATTATAGCCCTTTGTTTTTTTTCCTTATATAGAATATATAGTGAACAATTTCTTCTGTGCGCAACTCCTCCTACATTTCTCAACGGATTTTGACCAAACTTTCTCAGAGGCTCTGTCATCAAGTGCCCTGACACATATTGCCAGGGTTTTGCAATTGGTATATATTTGACCTAATTATAGCCCTTTGTTTTTTTTCCTTATATAGAATATATAGTGAACAATTTCTTCTGTGCGCAACTCCTCCTACATTTCTCAACAGATTTTGACCAAACTTTCTTAGAAGCTTTGTTATCAAGTGTCTGGCACATATTGTTGGGGTTTTGTGATTGGATAATATTTGACCGCATTATGGCCCTTTGTATATTTTTTCCTTATACAGAATATATAGAGAACAATTTCTTCTGTGCTCAACTCCTTCTACATTTCTCAACGGATTTTGACCAAACTTTCTTAGAAGCTTTGTTAACAAGTGCTTGGCACATATTGTCGGGGTTTTGTGATTGGATAATATTTGACCGAATTATGGCCCTTTGTATATTTTTTCCTTATACAGAATATATAGTGAACAATTTCTACAGTGCGCAACTTCTCCTACATTTTTCAATGGATTTTGACCAAACTTTCACAGAAGCTTTGTCATCAAGTGCCCTGGCGCTCACTAAATTCCCATGTTTCTTCCAAGACATCATTCAAGTATTTTTTTAAAATTGTGAACATACTTTTCTTGATATTGCACAAAACACCACACACCAATATTGTTGACAAAAGAAAATGACAAGAGACGCAAAAATGCAAAAATTAAGCAAAAATAAAGTACTGTTTACCTTTCTAAAACATTTGGGAAAAAAAGGCGAATAGACAACATAAAATTTCTCAATCATTTTTGTTTGAGGAATATTAAAAAAAGCCATAATTCCTCCTAAAAGTTCAATTAAAAACAAATGCCCCTTCATGACAAAGCTTCTGTGAAATATTTTGCTGAAAACCTGGTTGCATCGCATTGCGATGTTCCTTGTTGAAGTATGTTTTAATGACAAGAGGGCTTGCAAAATTGTCCACAAGGATATGGAACAACTTGAAACACAAATTTGTCTGTTTTGTATTGAATTTAATTGGATTGAATTTACATTTATTGATTTTAATATTAATTCCTAAACCACAATATTTAAAAAGAGTTTTACCAAAAATAAGTGCAAAACATAGTAAAAAACACAAAAGAACAACTAAGAAAAAACACAATCATATCTTCAATTATGTTGAAAATATAGATTAGGGAAAAAAACATAAACATAAGGCAATTCGGTCTCAATCTGACAACACATGCACTGGATATAAGAAGTTGAAAACCGGTAGATTACCCTATTGCACTAAAGTGGCTGGTATATCTTAAAATATCGTAGAAACTAATGTAATTTCATCATACTGCGTGCATCTCATGAAGTCAAATTTTCCAAATATTTATAGAAATTTAATATATTGTGTGCATGGACCGCTACGATAATCAGTATGCAATTGGCAGGTTGATATAATCTAACAATAGCATGGACTGTATTCAGGGAGCCATATATAAATATGTTACTGTAATTAGAGTCATCAAAACATAACTGTCAAATGATACCACTCTAGCAGGTGGAAAGCATGATATGTATAGATCATAGTTCATGTAATAGAATTATAGTTCTACAAATTAAGTATTGGCCAAAACCTTTGAATACCCAAACTGATACATTTTACTGAACAGGTAGAATAGACTAACTTCGGAATTAAGAATATTTGTTTTTTTCCAAGCTAATCTGTAGGTACTAACAAACTTTTACAGTTGAAAATTGGTCTGAAAGTTTGTTCTGATGATTTCTAGGTCAAGTTTGATATGGGTCACCTTCGGCCAAAAACTAGGTCACACTGCCCAAATATTGAAACTCTTGTTAACACTGTAGTGGTCACATTTTTGACTCAATCATCATCAAACTTTGTCAGGATGCTTGTCTAGGTAATTGCTTGGATAAGTTTGAACATGGGTCATCTCAGATGAAAAACTAGGTCACAGGAGCTAAAAATAGAAAAATGTTGTTCACACTCTTTTGGCTACTGTTTTGATCCAAATATCCTTGAAATTGGTCTGAAAGTTTGTTTTGATGATTTCTAGGTGAAGTTTGAATATGTGTCACCTGGGGTCAAAAACTATGTCACACTGCTCAAATATGGAAAAAACCTTTTAACACTCTAGTCACATTTTTGACTCAACTGTCATGAAACTTGGTCTGGATGTTTTTCTAGGTAATATTGCTTGGATGAGTTTGATAGGTCAGGTGAGCTATCTGGGACCATCTTGGCCCCCTTGTACTATATGGGAATCAACCAGTCCATTAGGCGAAGCTTAATTCTTTATATTTGGAAACTGCCATATTGACCATTTAATAGTTTCACTTAATGCGTTTACTAGATATTGTGCACAATATCAAAATATAGAGATAAAAGAAGCAAAAATTTGAAAATCTCTTGAAAAGCACAAGAAGGGACGGAGTGAACTTTAAAATTGATTAATTATTTAAAAAAAACAGATATGGACACATAGAATTTACAAATTAGACATTATTTTTATGCAAGAATAGGGATATGCACCTTTTTATATGCACATTTGAAAAATAGGTTGTATTATAGTTTCCCATCTGGCAGGCGGTGTCCAATTTTGTGTGGAGCATTTCTCCTAAATGCATGGAGAAATTTTAATAAATCTTCATACAAATGTTTACCACTATGAGAAGCCCTTGTTTGGCCATTAAAATCTGCAGAAGGATATATTTTTAATGTGAATTGGTCTATTATGGAAGGTCTGTTATACTACAATTAAATATGTTGATAATTTTTTTGTACCAGACACAACAACAAATCACAAAAGAATTCTATATGCATCTTTTTGGCAATATAAATGATATTTGCTATTGACAGATATTTTTCAAACATTTTAGATCTGTCAAAAGAGCTTTTAGTCCTGGAGAAATCCTTAAATTTAGAACAAAGATTTTTGTACATGACTTGGAAAAATTCAACAATTGTTTCCTTAGTTAAATTTAGATTTTAATATTGTACAGAGTTCTTGCTTCTCAAATCATGTCACATTGATACATGTTATGTTAATATTTTCAGATTAAAGTCTGATTTAAAGCAAAAGGAATCAGATTTACTTGGTGCTAAAAGAGATTTGAAGGAATTGCAGAACAAGTTTAATCAGCATCAACAGTTGGAGGCTGATCTGAACAGAAAAACATCTAAAACACTGAGTATGTTATACAAATATTTTTGTTTTACTCTCAGATTATCAGTTAATGTTTCTGACTACTATTTTTGTCAGAGTATATTAGACTATAAGCCGATGGAATCGGGAGGGGATAATGTTTTGGCACTGTCCATCCGTCCTTTCGCACTACCAAAAGATAGGGGCCATATAACTGTAAACAGAACAAAAAAAACAAGAGTTCATTCCGTAACAATAGAGTAAGGGGCCATTGGCTCTCTATTAAATGCATGTTAAAGAAAATAACAGTTGAAGGAATGGCTCCTTATTCCATTGCCGCCCAATGTCCATCCATCTGTCCATCCCAATTTCATTCTGCAACTACTGGTTGCAGTGGTTTTTTTCACTGTTGGGGGAAGGGGGTCGGTGTCCTTTGGAGGGGGAAAAATACAATAGGAGGGGGCATTTTATTTTTTCACAAATGAGGAGAAACAAAAAAGAATCCAGTGCATATTTTAATATACCACTTACCACTGTAAGATTTCCTGTTGTGTGACATTGTTTTCTTTCTGGTAGAAAAGGGGAGCAACTCTTGCAACACAAGTTTAAAATTGTTGCTTTTGCTTAATATATGGATCTAAAATATTGACAACAGAATGTACAGTGTCACATGTTAAACTTGTTGGGATGATGGGAGTAGCTCCCCTTACCTACCTTTTGTAACAATTTGTAAACAACCTTGCTAACAGTTAGTCTTACAGGCATAAATTAATACATATTTCAGCAGTAAGTTGCAAAAAAAATCGGCTTTGAGGGTGGGGATGGGGGGAACACATACTATTTTGAGGGGGAATGAGGTCAAATTTGGCAGAATATTTTGGTGAAAAAAAACATTGCAAATCAACGAAACTTTATGGGAACCATCAATACCAAGAGGAGATGCACATATCATTGCCTTGTTTCAGTTCTACCCTTCAGCACAGAGTTATGTATGGAGGGCGTTCGTTGCCAAAATTCCAGACATGTAAAGTGTTCCTTTTTAAAATGACTTTTGAAAATGCGAACTTGTATGCCTACCATTTTTATTGTAAACCTCTTAATTCAATCTTTTATTTGAAGGTTACCGCCTTTATATAACAAGTTTACATATATATCGTAACAACTGACCTAACATCTAAAACAAATTTACAAGTTCGTATCTTCCATTGCATGCAATACATATGCATGTTTGCACACGTATAGATCTGAAATATACAAATGAAACGTAAAACTCGAATACGGAAAATAGAGTTTAAGAAAACGTGTTTCCAGTTGTAGAACTACAAGAGTACGTTAACACAGTAACATGTTTAAAATGACAAAAGTAGATTCACAAAGTTAAACGATTTTAAGTCAAGCATAACGCCCTGCCCCTCTCGGAGTATTTACGAACTTCTATTGCGGACAGGTATAAAACGGCGCCTCTCCCATATTTTTAAATAAAACTGAAGGACAACATACGGCATTTTTCATAAAATATATATGTTACATTTGTTACAAAAGTTTTGTCAGTAGCAACATCACTTGAAAATTGCTGATTTTACCATTTATGATGAAGATAACTTATGCATTACCTTATTTTTAACATCGTGTTCTTATCAGTTACAAATTATTTATCATTTTAGTGATTAGCCTGTCCGTGCTCTGCCTAGTGCCCTGTCCTGTGTTTTGTTTTGGGTCCGCAATGGCTTCTTGCCACTTGTTCTTGTTGCTGGGTCATGTGGGGTTGCGTTCATTGAGCGCCGCCTTTCCTTGTTGATCTTGTTTATCATATATTCCTGAGAAACATCGGCGATTGGGAAATTTTTAGGGGAAACAATGACCAACTTCAAGGGAGTAATTTTATTAATAATGTAAAAAAAACCCAATATTCTTATTGGTATCATTGAAAAATGTGTTGGCACAAATTTCATTTTCAACAAAAACTATGCAAGTATATTTTAAAGCAGCCACCGAGATTTCCTTTCCGAAATCAAGAAAATACTTATCCGTAGCACATATATGTACAATCTTTAATAAGGTATTTTCAGTATGAATAAAAACTTTTTGCACTTGTTCATTATCCCTCATGTACAGACTCAATCAAACCGAATCTGCAATTCTTATGTAATTTTGTAGTGATTAATGCTTCCGAGGGATCACTTTGTTTCCAGATTTTTATACTTCACAACAGCAGGTTTCAAGTGCCGTGAGGCAGCTGTAAAAAGTTGCCCCGTACTTCACTTCAGTGTTGTTATATTTTTCTGGTCTTTCGGGATCATTGATGCCAGCGCTATTAAGTGTTGAGAATTGAGTACCGTTCAAGCCGGTGCTAGGGGCGTGAGGCATGCTGCACTTGTTCATTATCCCTCATGTGCAGACTCAATCAAACCGAATCTGCAATTCTTATATAATTTTGTTGTGATTAATGCTTCCGAGGGATCACCTTGTTTCCAGATCTTTAATATACTTGTTCAAAACTTACCAGAAAGGGCGGGGCAAATTGTTGGGACATTTGTAACGTCAATTGCAAAAGATCTACAGAAGTTCAGACATAATGACAGTTTTGCGAGATGTCCGACATGTGTAATATCTGCATCGGGTCTATGCATTCAATTCTGACAAAACAATTTCATTTAATTAAAATAATATTTTATTTCATTCATAAGGATATATGCGTATTTACAATAAATACTTATAGCTATTATTTGTATTTCCTGTATTTACCCTGGTCCGTTTGATGATTAATGCTACCCGGCGTTCAGAAGATTTACTGCATAGAATAATTGTCAGTTGATAAAATATTTTCTTTATCATCGATACTCATATTGTTTAAAGATCGGACGAGGGCAGTTTCAAATTGATACTATCAATCAACAATTGAATTAACTTAATAACACTGTCCGTTTAGACAGTGTCTAAATTACTCAAAAATCCCGATAAAGAGTGGAAAGTATACGGACCTTTATACGGAGAATGGAGCGAATAGATGACCACTTTATATCTCAGGTCATCATTGCAAACAGAAAAATGGTTTTGGTATATGATCCGCAGATATTGAAAACTAAAAAGAGTACTTTCTGAACAATGACCCTAGTAAAATGTTTCATTTATATTGCGACGTCACGCACGTCATTTTGATTCATCATCACCTTGCGCCGGATTGCGCACCCCTTGTGATTTGTAACTGTCACAGAATTTTTATTTGTAAACATATTGTATTGAGTTTTTCACTGTTTATTAAGGACATATTTTCAAATATGTCTCTTGTAAAATCATATACGCAAATTAAAAGATGTGAACAGTAGAGCCGCAGTCCACGAACTTTTTGAATAGCCCTCGTACTTCTACGTAATTAATTTTCATTTTAAGGCATCACTAGAATGTTCATTAAGGATTCTTAAGCACTATTAAGTGTTGAGAATTGAGTACCGCTCATCCCGGTGCTAGGGGGCGTGAGGGATGTTGCACTTATTCATTATCTCTTATGTACAGACTCAATCAAACCGAGTCTGCAATTCTTATGTAATTTTGTTGTGATTAATGCTTCCGAGGGATCACTTTGTTTCCAGAATTTTTTACTTGAGTCTAAAATTATCAACGCCGCCTTTCCTTGATGATCTTGTTTATCATATTCTAAAATTATCAAAATTGACCAAGAAATAAAAAAAATAAGTAGGGGGCGCCATGTTTCTCTTACTGAATTTCAGAGTGTGTTTTGTGATTTTTTTACTAGGGGATCATATGCCGTTTTTCATGGTATGGCACTTACGTGTCTTATTGAAGGTTCCATGATAATCACCATATTAACACATCTGCGGATGTTTCAAAATTCAAAATTGTACCAGTTCATGTTGAATTTTGCTTAAGCCGGTGCTAGGGGCGTGGACGATAACTTGCTCTTTCCATTACCGTCCATGAGCAGGCTCAATCAAACCGGCCTGCAACATTCTCAATTTTGTCGTTTTGAGCGTTCTTTAGGGATTCTTATTTTCTCTATTTTACAGAAAGTAACATGATAAACTTTTTAACGAAAAGTTAATTCATTTTGATTTAATTCCTTTTTATTATTTTTAGGCATTATATAATTATATATCGTAAATCGTATTAATCACACTTTTATTTCAATCCAAAATTATCAAAATATATTACGAAATAAAAAAAAAGTTTGGAGGGAACGCCGTGTTTTTCTTACCAATTCGAGAGTGTTATTTTCAGACTAAAAAAAACACAAAAAAATCAATACATCTATTTAATTCATTTTTATTTCCGAGGCATTCATAGAAAGCTTATGGAGTAATCTTTCATTTGATACAAATTATATTGGACTTTTTATAGAAATAAAAAAAGTTAGAATGGACGCCCTGTTTTCCTTCACTTTATTGAGAAATAGGAGAAAGGCGACGGGTATTATACCTGTCCGTACATTTCCATGATAGAAGATCGTAAGTACTCAGAGAGGGGCGGGGCGTCATGCATGACTTAAAATCGTTTAACTTTGTGAATCTACTTTTGTCATTTTAAACATGTAACTGTGTAAATGTACTGTTGTAGTTCTACGACTGGAAACACGTTTTATCAAATTATATTTTCTGCATTCGAGTTTTACATTTCATTTGTGTTTTTCAGGTACATATATATATCTACAAGTGTGTAAACATGCTTATGTATTATATGCAATGGTAGATACGAACTTGTAAATGTGTGTTAGGTCAGTTGTTAAGATTTACATGTAAACTTGTTATTTAAAAGCATACGCCTTCAATAAAAAGATTGGATTAAGAGGCATATCATTTGCTGTGCACGAATGCAATCAAAAATGCTAGACATACATGTTCACATTTTCAAAAGTAGTTTTCAAAAGGAACACATTACATGTCTGGAATTTTGGCAACGATCGCCCTCCATAGTTATGGCCCTTGATTAGATATGCAGTATGCATATAGAGCAATAATTGTTTCCGCTCTTCTTCTCTGCAATACTGGCTTTAATTCAATGAAACTTTATGAGAACCATCTATACCGAGATTAGATGTGCATATGGTCTCCTTGTTCCGGTCCAACCCCACAACACACAGGTATAATATGTCCCTTAATTAGTAATGCAGAATGCATTTAGAGCAATAATTGTTTGCGTTCTATTTCTCTGCAACTACTGGCAGGAATTCAATGAAACTATCTGAACCATCAATACCTAGAGGAGATGCTCATATTGTTGCCTTGTTCGAGTCAGACTTTTCATCACAGAGTTATGGCCCTTGATTGGTTTGCAGTATGCATATAGAGCAATTATTAAATGGTTTCCGTGCTATTTCTCTGCAGTATGCATATAGAGCAATAATAGTTTCCGTGCTACTTCTCTTCAACTACTGGCCAGAATTCAACAAAACTTTGTGGGAAGCATCAATATCAAGGTGAGATGGGCATATTGTTGCCTTGTTCCAGTCAGATCCTTCAACATAGAGTTATGGCCCTTGAATAGTTATGCAGTAATTATTTAGAGCAATAATTGTTTCTACTCTATGTCTCTGCAACTACTTGCAGGAATTCAATGAAACTTTATGGGAACAGTCAATACCAAGAGGAAAAGCTCATATTCTTGCCTTGTTCATGTGAGACATCTCAACACAGAGTTATGGCCCTTAATTAGGTATGCATTATGCATATAGAGCAAAAATCATTTCCGTGCTATTTTTTCTGCAACTACTCACAGGAATTCAACAAAACTTTATTGGAACCTTCATTACCAAGATGAGATGGGCATATCATTGCCTTGCTGCAGTCAGACCCTTCGAGTTATGGCCCTTGATTAGTTATGCAGTATGCATATAGAGCAATAATCATTTCCACGCTATTTCTTTGCAAGTACTGGTTGGAATTCAAAGAAACTTTATGGAAACCATCAATTATTAGAGGAGATGCGCATATCCTTGCCTTGTTCCGCTCAGACCCTTCAACACAGAGTTATGATACTTAATTAGTTACATGTATGTAGTATGCATTATAGAAAACTATTGCTATTTCTTTGCAACTGCTGGATTGATTTCAACAAAACTTTATGGGAACCATCATTACAAAAAGGCAATTTGCATCTCATTGGCATGTCCAGATAATACTCATTAACACAGAGTTATTGCCTCTGTTATTGCCCTGAATTTTTATCATGTAAAAAGAATATTACTATTCATGTTTTGATAAATATATTAATAAAGCCTTATGTCTCCAGTCGTTGTGTTAGTAATAACCAGAATTCCGCAGGGGATATAAATTCAACAAATTTGCTTGTTAACTTGTCTGTTTTTGAAGAAAAAGTTGAGCTTTAATGTAGCCCATTATTCAAATATTTTTAAAGTTATCAACATGAAACTTGAATTACTTGCTAATCATTTAATTTACAAGTTGTAGTTGTTAGACAAGGGGCATAACTCTGGAATAATGCCCCTTTTTACAGAGAATTTTTGTCAAAATTCACCTTCTCAAGACAAGTGTAACACTGAATGCAGTGCTGTTACATAGTTTGAATAGTTCATACTTGGACAAATGTTACCAGAAAGTTATTATATGAAAACAACACAAATAAACATTTATGTAGAAATAATATTGTAAAGAGAGGAAATTGATAAATTTTCTCAAAAGTGAAAGTATTGATTGAAACAAGGGTAAAACAGTTTGAAGGAAATTTTCTATTGTAATATAGATAAGAGATAATTCTGTTTAAAGCATATGCTCTTTTGGGAAATCTTTATTTGAATATTATATGAAAAAAGAGATAAATCATTTTTATTGGTATTCACACATAGTTATTTTCATGTCTTTATTCTTCTGCTTCATTTTTAATGCTTAAGATAAAATTATTATACCCCCCCCCCCGAAAAGAAATTGGGGTGGGGGGAAGTATTATGTGAAACTGCAATGCCCAGATGTTTTTATGTGGCATGTAGCATTGCCTTGAGGTTCTTTACAAAAGTGACATAAATCATGCCCCTGGGGAAAAAAGGCCCAGTCATGGAGTCACTTAGTTAACATAGACTTGCATATTAAAACACATTTAAGTTATCTTGTAAGAAATTAAAATTCTCAGATGATGTACAGAACACATGCTGCTGTGCTGCCATGTGGTCAAGGTTATACTTAAAGGTCAAATGTCAAACCATTTTATGTCTGCTCTGTAAGTTTTGACACTTTGTTCGATCTTCTTCAATCTTGACTAAAATGTTCATCTGATTATGGTGATGTGTAGGACTCAAACTTTGGTTGTACCTTCGTACCTTCACTAGGTCAAGGTCACCTACCTTCGTACCTTCACTAGGTCAAGGTCAACATTGAAGGTATATTGTATGACAATTTTGTAGGGGCTTTGTTAATACCCCATGAAGGATTTACTTCAAACTTGGATCAAATGTTCTTATTACCAATGTGTCGGACAACTTGTGTTCACACTACAGTTCTATATTTCTTTATTGATTTAAGTCTTTCTACAAACTTAAGTTCAAATGAACACCTATCATTATAAGTGATGGTTGGGTATTTTTATTTCTGTGACAGCTCTAGTTTTAAATCTTTAGAAGCAATTCTTATTGATTTCAACAGATTAGATCAAATTTTATATAAAGCTGATAACATCAGAAGGATGAATGTGATCCCACAAAGATAACTCTATATTTTCTCCAGAATTTATAATATGAGCCGCGCCACGACAAAACCAACATAGTGGGTTTGCGACCAGTATGGATCAAGACCAGCCTTCGCCTCTGCGCAGTCTGATCAGGATCCATGCTGTTCGCTATCAGTTTCTTTACATTTAATAGGGTTTGTAAGCGAACAGCATGGATCCTGATCAGACTGCGTGGATGCGCAGGCTGGTCTGGATCCATGTTGGTTGCAAACGCATTATGTTGTTTTTGTCATGACGCGGCTCAATTATAATTTTACTAATCTCTAGGGTAGCCAGCAGAATCTTCAATTTGTATGTAATATTCACAATTTTAGAGAATATTGAGAGAAATGGCAATAATCATTTTTAGGATTTTTATGTTTCAGGGATGGTTTCATTATTATACAGTTATGACTATTTTACTTAGTTGACTCAGTTATCTCATGTACTGCCATATGCAACCTCAATCAATAAATGTTTTACTCTTTAGTTGATCAATAAAAACCTTTATGTCTAAAATCTTTATAGTACCGTGAAAAGGTTTTGTAATGACATAAGAGGTTTTGTAATGATGTTACAGGTTTTTGTACTGACATAAGAGCTTTTGGACTGACGTGAGAGGTTTTGTAATGACATAAGAGGTTTTACTGACATGAGAGGTTTTGTAATAACATAAGAGGTTTTGTACTGACATAAGAGGTTTTGTACTGACATAAGAGGTTTTACTGACATGAGAGGTTTTGTAATAACATAAGAGGTTTTGTAATGACATAAGAGGTTTTGTACTGACATGAGAGGTTTTGTACTGACATAAGAGGTTTTGTACTGACATAAGAGGTTTTGTACTGACATAAGAGGTTTTGTACTGACATAAGAGGTTTTGTACTGACATAAGAGGTTTTGTACTGACATGAGAGGTTTTGTAATGACATAAGAGGTTTTGTACTGACATAAGAGGTTTTACTGACATGAGAGGTTTTGTACTGACATAAGAGGTTTTGTACTGACATAAGAGGTTTTGTACTGACATAAGAGGTTTTGTACTGACATAAGAGGTTTTACTGACATGAGAGGTTTTACTGACATGAGAGGTTTTGTACTGACATAAGAGGTTTTACTGACATGAGAGGTTTTGTACTGACTTAAGAGGATTTGTACTGCTATAAGAGGTTTTACTGACATGAGATGTTTTGTACTGACATAAGAGGTTTTGTACTGACATAAGAGGTTTTACTGACATGAGAGGTTTTGTACTGACTTAAGAGGATTTGTACTGCTATAAGAGGTTTTACTGACATGAGATGTTTTGTACTGACATAAGAGGTTTTGTACTGACATAAGAGGTTTTACTGACATGAGAGGTTTTGTACTGACATGAGAGGTTTTGTACTGACATGAGAGGTTTTGTACTGACATAAGAGGTTTTGTATTGACATAAGAGGTTTTGTACTGACATGAGAGGTTTTGTAATGACATAAGAGGTTTTGTACTGACATAAGAGGTTTTACTGACATGAGAGGTTTTACTGACATGAGAGGTGTGTACTGACATGAGAGGTTTTGTACTGACATGAGAGGTTTTGTACTGACATAAGAGGTTTAACTGACATGAGAGGTTTTACTGACATGAGAGGTTTGTACTGACATGAGAGGTTTTGTACTGACATGAGAGGTTTTGTACTGACATAAGAGGTTTTGTATTGACATAAGAGGTTTTACTGACATGAGAGGTTTTTGTACTGACATGAGAGGTTTTGTACTGACATATTAGAGGTTTTGAACTGACATGAGAGGTTTTGTACTGACATAAGAATTAATTTTCTCAAAGAAAGAATCATTTTGATCCTAAGATTTAATAAACATATAAAACTTCCAAAGTTTGATAGATGATGATAATATGTCATTATGGACATCTTTATATCTTTATAGACAGAACTGATTAAAATTTTGGTTATTGTAATTATGTATGTATGTTTGTGATTAGAATCTTAATGATAATTATGTATTTATTTAAACAGTTGAGACAAAAGAATTAAAAGAATCGTTCTTCAAAGCCAAGGAAGAAATTGAGCATCTTAAAGAAGAAAGGTATGTTAAGTCAAACAAGATTCCTGCCATGTTTTTATGCATATAGGTGCCGTCTTGTTTGTCTGTCTGTTGTGCTTGTCCGGAGCATAATTTGAAAACCGTTGGACATAATTTGTTTTTTATACCCTCACTTGGAGTGTCATTCAATTTTGTATATTTTGTATAAATTGGTTTAACACAGAATAAAAACTGTGTGACCCTATGGAAACATTAATCACAACAAAATTATATGAAAATTGGTTTGATTATTTTTCACTTTTGCATGCTGTAATTCTTAGAGCGGCCTTCAGGTTTTTTAAAGGTTAAATATGTTATTTTATAAATAGTTTCATATAATTGTAAAAACCAAAAGAATTTAGGTTGAAAATGGAATTTACCAATGATAAAATACAAAAACACAATAAGGAAACACTTAGATACCTCTACTGGTCCGCTCTCAATGTTTTGATAAGTAAAGCATGCCCAATCGTTTTTAGTAACAAACATCACTGACAAGCTATAAATAGCTCTCGAGATGCTGTTTTGAACAGTGATATGATGTCTTTTACATGATAAATTTACTGAAATATTTAGTTTGAAAAGACACAGAATTGTTTTTCAACAGGAAATAAAAGCTAAAGGCCCCTTTTTTACGTAATGTTTCTCAGAAGACTTAACTTAAACAAAACTTAAATGGCCCAAGCTTTAATTTAGATTGCCAAATGGTCATCTGTCTGTAAACTTTTACTTTATAAATGACAGGTGAGTGATTTCAGGGCCATTATGGCCCTCTTGTATTAATTTTCTTTTCAGAAAGAGGTATGTTTATAATAATAGATATAATTTACAGTAGTTCTGTTAATATACAAAGGAATTCTAATATTTTGTGGGTTTAAAAGATTCTAGAGATTAATTGAAATATGTTTTCCTGGCATCATGTTGGTATAATTACAGCATAAATCATCCTCCTTTATGCATGCAATTGCATCAATGATTTCATGACCTCATAAATTATCATTTAGCAGTGAAATAACATAATAAAAAATGGCAGTCTCATGCTAATAGGACCTATGAAATTTCTTGTTCTTGCATCTTTAGGCAAGACTTAATGTATGTTATGTTATTGTCCACTTTTCCATTTTTCTCACTGATCTTACAGACATGTTAGTTTAGTGCACTTGTTGTTAAATGGAAATGATGAAGTAGGGCCACAAAAAAATGAAGAAAAGATGACTTCGATATGTTTATTAGTCCCCTACCGGTTTACCGGAGGGGACTTTAGGTTTACCCTCCGTCCGTCTGTCCGTCCGTCTGTCCGTCCGTCTGTCCACAAAACTAGATCCCGCGATAACACAAAAAGTACTGAAAATATTTTAATGAAACTTGATATATGGATAGATGGCAGTATGGAGATTATGCACGTTTTTTTCTTTTCACCTTATGTTGAAAATTCTGGTTGCTATGGCAACAAATAGACTGAAAATATGGCAAATTTTACACATAACCTGGATCCCGCGATAACGCAAAAAGTACTGAAAATATTTTTATGAAACTTGATATATGGATAGATGGCAGTACGGAGATTATGCACGTTTTTTTCTTTTCTTCCTATGTTGAAAATTCTGGTTGCTATGGCAACAAATAGACTGAAAATATGGCAAATTTTACACATAACTTGGATCCAGTGATAACACAAAAAGTACTGTCAAACTTTAAATATAAGTTGCTTGTCATCAACCACGTCATATGTGACAAGGTTTACAGCTCTAGCGCAAAATTTATCAGAAATACCTCCCTTGAACTTAAAATTTTCATGAAAAAAACATTTTTTTTTTTTAATAACTTCTTTTTCTGAATGTATCTACTTCAAACTTCATATAAATGTTTCTTATTATCACTCAACATTTGTAATATAAATGTTTCTTATTATTACTCAACATTTCTGAGTGTTCAATACTCTAGCAAGACTATTTCCATAATTTTGCCCCTTTTGAACTAAGACTTTTTTTTGAGAAATTGGTAATTTTTACTCCAACTTCTTCAATCATGATAGGATTTTAAAAATGTTATATTTTGATAACAGGGATGTTTAAAATAACTTTAGAGTGTCCTTCAGTCCGTCTGTCTTTACATAAAAACTGTTTCCTGTGATCACTTTTAAAGAAATTTTTCAACAAATTTACTTAAAATAGGAACATAAGTGAATGGCCAGTGGCCCTTCAGAATGTTGCTTGGGCTCTTACTGGTAGGGGACTTATGGATTGCTTGCAATACTATGATAATTGCTTGTTTATCTTTGTCTTTTTTTTTTGAAAATTTTATTTCATATTGACTGTGATAAAGTGACATTATGCTCATTTTTTCATTGCCAAGTTGACTTAAATTAGATGGTGATAATAAATGACTAATAATTGATAATAAGAAATTTTGAGATAAATATAAAAACTGCCAGAAATATTAAACAATTGCCTGCCCTCGTCAAAGAAGAGGGGGTATATTGTTTTGCTGATGTTGGTCGTTTGGTCGGTTAGTCTGTCTGTCGTTAGACCACATGGTTTCCGCTAATTATCTTTAAAACTGTTTATCACAAAGTCTTCATATTTCACAGACTGGTTGGTCATAACTAGTAGATGACCCCTGTTGATTTTGGGATCACTTGTTAAAGGTCAAGGTCACAGGTGCCTTAAATGTCAGAATGGTTCGGCTGATTATCTTGAAATCTATTTATCACAAAGTCTTCATATTTCACATACTGGTTGGTCAAAACTAGCAGATGACCCCTGTTGATTTTGGGATCACTTGTTAAAGGTCAAGATCACAGGTGCCTTAAATGTCAGAATGGTGTCGGCTGATTATCTTGAAATCTATTTATCACAAAGTCTTCATATTTCACAGACTGATTGGTCCTAACTAGTAGATGACCCCTGATGATTTTGGAATCACTGGTTAAAGGTCAAGGTCACAGGTGCCTTAAATGTCAGAATGGTTTCCACTGATTATCTTGAAAACTATTTGTCACAAAGTCTTCATATTTCACATACTGATTGGTAATAATTAGTAGATCAGACCCCTATTGATTTTTGGGTCACTATTTCAAAGGTCAATGTTACAACGGCCTTAAATGTCAGAATGGTTACTGCTCATTATCTTGAAAACTATATATCACAAATTCTTCATATTTCACATATTGAATAGCCATATGTTGTAGATGACCGCTATTGATTTTGGGATCAGTAGTTCAAAGGTCAAGGTCACATGTAAATGTAAATTTGGTTTCTGCTTATTACCTTTTAAACTTTTAATCACAAAGTCTTCATATTTCACATATTGATTAGTCATAATAGGGTCACTAGTTCAAAAGTAAATGTCTTTATGTTTCACATATTGATTGGTTATAACTAGTAAGTCTTTATTTTTCTTTTTTCCTTAACTGAACACTTCCATGTTCCCATTTATGGCAAGTTTCTATAACAAAATTACCAAAAATGTCAACGACTAGAAAGGGGGCGTATGTGTCGTACGACAATTCTTGTTATTAACTAAGATACATTCTGAAAGATATTTATAGGAATTTCTGTGAGTAATGCATATAATTGAATATTCATTGAAAGTAGAATATGAATTTAGAAAGCAGTCAGGCAAAATAAATTAAAAAATTTGACTTTTACATTTTTGTTACAAAATTACACTTAATGGGCATAATGTTACCTTAACAGACACAAATAAGGAATTCATAGACTTACTTTTATTAAACAGAATTTTGTTTGATTCATGTTGATTTTCTTGTTACACAATATAGATGCGATAATTCTTATTTAAATTGTGTCAATATGTGTTGTTTTATTTCAAAAATTCTTTAACACTGCTCTCTCACTTTATGTTTTACAAATACTTTGACAAACCTAAATTTCAAACTAATCACAGTTCACTGGATATAGTTTAGTTTTGTTTGCATGTTTTGTTTGTCTATAGGGAGGCTATGATAACCTCACATCAGAACAGAATAGAACAATTGCGAGAAAGCTTCAAAGAAAAATTATCTGAAGCAGATAATTGGCAGGAAAAGGTATGCTACACATTTGAAACATAATATAGTATTCTTGCTCAACTGAATTATTTCTTTTTATGTTATTATTAAGAAATAGGGACTCTTTAGCAAATGTAACACCAGTGACCTTGAACTTAACAGGTGACTCCTAACTCCTCCAAAAGATCACAGAGCATTACCCTTACGAAAAATGGCTACATTGTCAGTGTGTTGTCAGTATATTGCCATATTCTTGGCGAATAAACTTCAGCTCCTTTTTAGTCAATTATCAGTCAGCTACTACTAAATCAGTGTCTTGTCAGGTGGATATCTGATTATTGTCAGACATGAAGTAAGTGTATTACCACTACTAACCATTTTACCATCAGGTCATAAACAACAGGCATAAATTGACATCTTTGGGATTAAAACTGACTATTTTCTTCATTAAACTATTTTCTTCAAATTTTAATGTCCCTAACAAGTTTTAACTGACTGAACTTTAAAGTTTTAGCTTCCTTTACAGTTACTCCGATCAATTTTATTTTTCAACCAATTTCATTCTTTTTTGGTAGATAGATACCTTAAATGGTTCTTATTGTGCCCCGACTTTAAGGGGGCATTTAGCTTTACCCTTGTCCATCTGTCTGTCCATCCATTCTCATTTTGTATTGCACATAGCTCAAAAAGTATTTGACCTAGAGTCATGAAACTGTACAGGAATGTTGCTTAGTATGTGAAGTTGTGCTCCTGGTATTTACTTGTGGATTTATTTAGTGTTTTAAAGTTATTGCCCTTGACTTAGTAAAAATTTGCAATTTTCAATTTTTGTCACATTTAGCTCAAAAGTATTTGACCTAGGGTCGTTGCTCAGTATATATGTAGTTGTACACCTAGGTATTTTCGTGTGTATTTATTTAGTATTTGTAGACTTATTGCCCTTGACTTGGTAAAAATTTACAATTTTCAACTTGTGTCGCACGCAACTAAAAAAGTTTTTGACCTAGGGACATGAAACTTTACAGGAATATTGATCAGCATATGTTGTTGCACCTGGGTATTTTTGTGTGGATATATTAAGTTTTTTGCCATTGATTTAGTAAAAACTTAATTTTCAACTTGTGTCGCGCATATCTCTAAAACTAAAAGGTCTTGTTTATTATAGTGTCACCCGTACTGAAAGGGCCAGCCATTTCTGACTTATGACACAGCTTTTGCTTGCATACCATGTACCTCCCAACTCCTACCACCACCAAAAGTGGGGCGTCTGTGGCCGAGTGGTTAAGGTCGTTGACTTCAAACCACTTGCCCCTCACCGCTGTGGGTTCGAATCCCAACAGGGACTTTGGATTCTTTCATGTGAGGAAGCTATCCAGCTAGCTTACGGAATGTCGGTGGTTCTACTCAGGTGCCCGTTCGTGCCTGAAATAATGCACGGAAGGGCACCTGAGGTCTTCCTCCACCAGTTAAGCTGGAACGTCGCGATATGACCTATACTGTGTCGATGTGACATAAAACCCAAAACAAACAAAAAACAAAACCACCAACAGTATTTCACCTAAAGTCATGAAACCTTACAGGAATGTTGCTCAGCATGTGTTGTTGTGCACCTGCTTGTTGATTTATTCTGTTTTGTTAGAGTTATTGCCCTTGACTTATTAAATATTTGCAATTTTCAACTTGTATTTGACCTAGAGTCATGAAACTTTACAGGAATGTTAATCAGCATGTGTGGTTGTGCACCTGGGTATTGTCATTTGAATGTTTTTTGGTTTTTAGCTCGACTTTTCTATGAAAAGGGGAGCTATCCTACTCGCCCCGGCGTCGGCGTCGGCGTTAGCGTTAGCGTTGGCGTCACACCTTGGTTAAGTTTTTCGTACCACCCCACTTTATTTCAGAAGTATTACAAGTATGGCTTTGAAACTTACCATACTTGTTCACCATCATAACCTCCATCTACAGACAAGAGTACATAACTCTGTCAAGGTTTTTGACAGAATTATGGCCCTTTTTTGACTTAGAAAGTGTATTGAGCTTGGTTAAGTTTTTTGTACCACCTCACTTTATTTCAAAACCATTGGAGGTATTGCTTTGAAACTGACCATACTTGTTTACCATCATGACCTTCATCAACAGACAAGAGGACATAACTCTGTCAAGGTTTTTGACAGAATTATGCCCCTTTTTGACTTAGAAAATACATTGAATATGGGTAAAATCCACTTATTGCCTTAACCCTTTGAGATATTGCTTTGAAACTTTTAATGCTATTTCACATCATTACCCCCATCTGTACGCAAGAGAAGGTAACTCTGTCAAGGATTTGTTTTAAAAAATTAAGGCCTTTTATCGACTTAGAATCTTGGTTAAGTTTTTAGTACCAGTCCACTTTTTGACTGAACTGTTTGAGATATTAATTTGAAAGTTGGAATACTTGTTTACCATCATGGTCCCAAAACATGGGCAGGAGAAGGTAATTCTGTTAAGGATTTTATTTGAATTATGGCCCTTTTTGACTTAGAAACTCAGTTAAGATTTTCATTCTTGTCCACTTGTTGACTTAACCATTTGAGATATTACTTTGGAAGTTGGAGTTCTTATGTGCCATCATGAGACCTATCTGTAAGCAAGAGAAGATAACTCTGTGAAAATGTTTCTTGATTTGTACTTAGAAATTCCTAGTTAAAGTCTTGTGTGCCCTTAACTGTCAAAGTTTTGTTTTATAGGCAAGCACTAAAAAAGTCGAGCGCGCTGTCCTTCTGACAGCTCTTGTTTTAGTTATTACCCTTGACGTGGATTTATTCTGTTTTGTCAAATTTATTGCCCTTGACTTAGTGAAAATCGTCCCATTATGTTGTGTTATTTGTTCCTTGAGTGCTTGAGTTAGAATCAACCAACTTAACAGTATTAATGATCAACATCACTGTGCATCTATGCACCTGGGGTTTTGCATGTGGATTTTTTTAGTTTTGTTACAGTTATTTCCCTTGACTTAGTATAAATTTGCAATTTCAACTTGTTCATGCATAACTGAAAAAATATTTGACCTGTAGGTCTGACAGTTTACAAGAATGTCGGTCAGCCATGTACTTACGCACCTTGGAGTTTGCTTGTGGATTTATTCAGTATTTGTAAAGTTCATGCCCTTGACTTAGTAATCGATTTTTAGCTCGACTTTTCTATGAAAAGGGGAGCTATCCTACTCGCCCCGGCGTCGGCGTCGGCGTCGGCGTTAGCGTCGGCGTCGGCGTTGGCGTCACACCTTGGTTAAGTTTTTCGTACCACCCCACTTTATTTCAGAAGTATTACAAGTATGGCTTTGAAACTTACCATACTTGTTCACCATCATAACCTCCATCTACAGACAGGAGTATATAACTCTGTCAAGGTTTTTGACAGAATTATGGCCCTTTTTTGACTTAGAAAGTGTATTGAGCTTGGTTAAGTTTTTTGTACCACCTCACTTTATTTCAAAACCATTGGAGGTATTGCTTTGAAACTGACCATACTTGTTTACCATCACGACCTTCATCAACAGACAAGAGGACATAACTCTGTCAAGGTTTTTGACAGAATTATGCCCCTTTTTGACTTAGAAAATACATTGAATATGGGTAAAATCCACTTATTGCCTTAACCCTTTGAGATATTGCTTTGAAACTTTTAATGCTATTTCACATCATTACCCCCATCTGTACGCAAGAGAAGGTAACTCTGTCAGGGATTTGTTTTAAAAAATTAAGGCCTTTTATCGACTTAGAATCTTGGTTAGCTTTTTTGTACCAGTCAACTTTTTTGACTGAACTGGTTGAGATATTAAATTGAAAGTTGGAATACTTGTTTACCATCATGGTCCCAAAACATGGGCAGGAGAAGGTAATTCTGTTAAGGATTTTATTTGAATTATGGCCCTTTTTGACTTAGAAACTCAGTTAAAATTTTCATTCTTGTCCACTTGTTGACTTAACCATTTGAGATATTACTTTGGAAGTTGGAGTTCTTATGTGCCATCATGAGACCTATCTGTTAGCAAGAGAAGATAACTCTGTGAAAATGTTTCTTGATTTGTACTTAGAAATTCCTAGTTAAAGTCTTGTGTGCCCTTAACTGTCAAAGTTTTGTTTTATAGGCAAGCACTAAAAAAGTCGAGCGCGCTGTCCTTCTGACAGCTCTTGTTTAGTTTTCAACTTGTGGCACATGTAGCCTAAAAATATTTGGCCTAAAGTCATAAGATTGACATAACAGTGCAGTGTGGGGGCACCCGTGTCCTATGGACACATTTCTAGTTTACAATAAATCGCTTCAATTTAAAGCTAAAAATAAATTAAAATATTTTCAGTTTATTAGCACATGCAGATTAAATTATGATAAAATATAGCTACATATACATTTATATATATGGTAATATATTATTTGCAGTTAGAAGAAGCAATACAAGCAGAGAAAAGAAGACATATTAGAGAATTAGAGGACCTAGAGACAAGGTTAAAGGAGAGTTTTGTCATGGTAATATTCTCAATTGATTCCATCTTATAATCACCAGCATGTTTGTGTAATAGTCCTCCATTGTTGATCATAACATATCCTCCCACTTAGCTGAAAATTGAGAGCATCATATTTTAGCTGCGTCATGACAAAACCAACATAATGGGTTTGCGACCAGTATGGATCCAGACCAGCCTGTGCATCAACGCAGTCTGATCAGGATCCATGCTGTTCGCTATCAGTTTCTCTTCTTGTTATAGAGTTGTAAGCGAACAGCCTGGATCCTAATCAGACTGCGGGGATGCGCAGGCTGGTCTGGATCCATGCTTGTCGCAAACCCATTATGTTGGTTTTGTCGTGAAGCGGCTCATTTGTAATCCAGAGTTGACTTGTTCAGTCCTATGGCAATTAGAGAAGTTTCCTTCTGACATTTATCTTGGACATTAAGTCATATTATTATTTTTCTTGCATATCAGTCAGGATTATCTACTGTTTACACCCGTGCTAGAAAACTCTTATCTTACACCCCCCATGTAATACAAGTCACATGCTTTTAATGATATATTTCCCGCGCGCCTTTTATGAATGAATTGCTTTCTTAGGATGACGTCACTTAACCATTATGAATGAAGTTGTCAGTTTATACGCTGCTATAAGAAAAAAGTGCATAATCAGAATATCAGTTTTCGTAATTTCTGTTCTGAAAATAATTGATATGTAATATGCAAGAAAAAGAATCAAACACCCGCTGTCGGTACAGACAGGAGTATCTAGCTCTTGGGGTAACTGTCCAGCGGAAACTCAGCAGAGCATTGTTACAGCCGTAAACAATTACCCTCGAGCTACATTATTCTGGTCTGTACTGGCAGCCAGTGTAAGATTCTTATATTCTAGCACCTCTGATTTGTGTAGGAATGGTAGTTGATAACATGTATACTGGTTAGCAAGTTAGGTGAACTGACAGCCAAGACATGACCAAAGATGTGTTATAATTACTTTAATAACCAGACAAACAAACTTGCTAAAAATTTACCTGATATATTGAGCTTCAATTGAAATATTAAAGTATGACTGCTAAATAACCTATATCTTTTAACATTAAGGTGCATAATTGATAAGATTTGGGAGTGTGGCATTGTTTTTTACAAACACATTTTGTTTAAGAACTTAAAAATTCAAGGCATGATGTGATAATAATACATAGAAAAATTGGTAAAAGTCTGAAATGTTTGTGACACAGTTATATTTTGGATTTTGGTGAATCATTATGTTTAATGTATTTCAGGAATTAGAGATAGAGAAAGGAAAGTATAGAGAACTTATGAAGAAATATCAAACAGGAAGTCAGGAAACAGAGGAAAAGGTGAAAATATACATTTATTATTTTAGATGGTTAACACACCTTCGACGGTATCCGGACAATTCCCCTCCCGGACGATTCCCCTCCCAGTAAATTTGAATGTTTTTTCACAACCCGGACATTTCCCCTCCCGTTATTTTTTTACGGCGGACAATTCCCCTCCCGTTATTTTATCAACCCGGACAATTCCCCTTCCGTTCTTTTAACAACCCGGACAATTCCCCTCCCGCTGTTGTCAGAGCGGACAATTTCTCTCCCATGGCTATTGAATATATATAATTATTATATAATATTGTTTATTTGAAAGGTATATACATGTACATTTTTGCAGCGGCAAAACAATAAAAGAACAATTGATAAGAACAAAAAAACAATTAAGCTGTAGATTCTTGCAAAGATTCTTGCAAAGAATATATTATGCACATGTTATAGTAAATTGAACTGTCATCATCGTCATTATGATTAGAAAATCATATTCACCATATTGAATCAGTACATGAAGTCCTAACACAAAATATCAGTGATCATTTTGATTTTATATATGATTGAACACATTTGTCGGAATATTCTCCTTTATTATGCCCCCTTTTGAAAAAAAGGGGGTATATTGCTTTGCACTTGTCGGTCCGTCGGTCCGTCGGTCCGTAGACCAAATGGTTTCCGAGTGATAACTAAAGAACCCTTAGGCCTAGGAACTTCAAACTTGGTATGGTGATTGGTCATGACAAGTAGATGACCCCTATTGATTTTGGGGTCAAGGGGTCAAAGGTCAAGGTCACATTGACCTTGTAAGCAAAAACGGTTTCCGATCAATAACTAAAGAACCTTAAGGCCTAGGAACTTCAAACTTGGTATGGTGATTGGTCATGATCAGTAGATGACCCCTAACGATTTTGGGGTCAAGGGGTCAAAGGTCAAGGTCACATTGACCTTGTAAGCAAAAACGGTTTCCGATCAATAACTAAAGAACCTTAAGGCCTAGGAACTTCAAACTTGGTATGGTGATTTGTCATGATCAGTAGATGACCCCTATTGATTTTGGGGTCAAAGGTCAAGGTCACATTGACCTTGTAAGCAAAAACGGTTTCCGATCAATAAGTAAAGAACCTTAAGGCCTAGGAACTTCAAACTTGGTATGGTGATTGGTCATGATCAGTAGATGACCCCTAACGATTTTGGGGTCAAGGGTCAAAGGTCAAGGTCACATTGACCTCTTGGGTAAAAACGGTTTCCGATCAATAACAAAAGAACCCTTAGGCCTAGGAACTTCAAACTTGGTATGGTGATTGGTTATGACCAGCAGATGACCCCTATTGATTTTGGGGTTAAGTGGTCAAAGGTCAAGGTCACATTGACCTTGTAGGTTAAAACGGTTTCCGATCAATAACGAAAGAACCCTTAGGCCTAGGGACTTCAAACTTGATATGGTGATTGGTCATGATCAGTAGATGACCCCTATTGATTTTGGAGTTAAGGGGTCAAAGGTCAAGGTCACATTGACCTTGTAGGTAAAAACGGTTTCCGATCAATAACGAAAGAACCCTTAGGCCTAGGGACTACAAACTTGATATGGTGATTGGTCATGATCAGTAGATGACCCCTATTGATTTTGGGGTCAAGGGGTCAAAGGTCAAGGTCACATTGACCTCTTAGGTAAAAACAGTTTCGGATCAATAACTAAAGAACCCTTAGGCCTAGGAACTTCAAAACTTGGTATGGTGATTGGTCATGATCAGTAGATGACCCCTATTGATTTTGGGGTCAAGGGGTCAAAGGTCAAGGTCACATTGACCTCTTAGGTAAAAGCAGTTTCCGATCAATAACTAAAGAACCCTTAGGCCTAGGAACTTCAAACTTGGTATGGTGATTGGTCATGACCAGCAGATGACCCCTACTGATTTTGGGGTTAAGGGGTCAAAGGGAAAGGTCACATTGACCTTGTAGGTAAAAATGCTTTCCGATCAATAACTTAAGAACCCTTAGGCCTAGGAACTTCAAACTTGGTATGGTGATTGGTCATGACCAGCAGATGACCTATTGTTTTTAGGGTCAAGGGGTCAAAGGTCATGTAACATTGACCTTGTAGGTAAAAACGGTTTCCCATCAATTAACTAAAAACGCTTAGGCCTAGGAACTTCAAACTTTGTATGATGATTGGTGGTGACCAGCAGATGACCCCTATTGAGTTTTGGGTCAAGGGGTCAAAGGTCAAGGTCATGACCAGTAGATACTTGATAACCTTTATTAATTGTTTGATCACTGGGTCAAAAGTCATGCATAATTACCTTATCACATGAATAATTGGCTGCTGATAGGGGGCATACATGTTTTACAAACATATCTTGTTTTTAATTGGTTTTGCAATCAAGGACACATTTAATTAAGGGCGGCAATGATTAAAGATTTTTTATTGACAGTTTGTTTATCTTAAGCCGCGGCGGCAATGATTAAAGGCGGTATAATGTCACTTTTGTGAAATAATGATTGTTAAAAGTTCCGATCTTTAACAGTTTATTGTTAAGAGTAAAAACTGTCATCTTTAATAAGAATGGTTATAGATTTTTTTTACGCAATGTGAAAAAACGGGAGGGGAATTGTCCGCTCTGCTAAAATATGGGAGGGGAATTGTCCGCTCTGCTAAATTAACGGGAGGGGAAAAGTCCGCCCTATTAAAATAACGGGAGGGGAAATGTCCGGGTTGTGAAAATAATATGGAAGGGGAATCGTCCGGGAGGGGGATTGTCCGGGATTCCACCTTCTTTTTGTGCATAGCACAAGGGCTTCTCCAGGTGTTAATGCAAACAAGGTGCAAACCACATTTCGCATAAAAGTATTCCCATCAGTACTGTATAATTAAGTGGTCAATTTTGCGACATGAAAATATTTGCGATTTTTGTGAATTATAATTATTTTTGCAAATAATTGATCACACAAACATTATTTCTTTCTAGGCAAACTTTCTCCTATCATTTGAAAATACGTTTTCCTACAGCATCTTACATGAAAAGTTTGACTGTTCGAGTACTGAAATAAATTGTTCTCATAGTTTGGTTTTAACAAATTACAAATGTTTTAATGAAACAATATAAGTATGTGTTAATAACAAGAAAGGTTATTCATATTATAACAAGGAATGTTTCAAAATATGACAAAGAAATGTGACCAGGTCCTTTATCAAACTAAAATGAATATTTTAAACAATTACAGTGGAGCCTTGCTAATCCGAACCCTTCTAATCCGGAATCCTCTCTTATCCGGACGAAGTGTCCGGTCCCGATTTTATTCGTTCTATTTTCAATAATAAAATACCTTTCGGATCCGAAACCTGTCTACTCCGAATTCCGGACGATTTTTTAAACTTTTGTTCTTATTTTACTCTAAAATTAACCTCTCGAATCCGAACAGATTTTGCCAAATGTCACACCTACAGTGAAAATAACAAATAATCGCACATCTTGCAGGTGTAAACATCAACAAAGTGATGAGAGTAATCTCGGGTGAAATGTATGATCTGCAAGAGGTGTGAAAATTACACTTAGCTTGCTTTGATATCTACTATAATTGCTTAATTGATTGTTTTTCGTCACCTTTATTAAATATTTTGATACAATGCAATAGAAATATTTTTTAATCTTTTGTAATGAATATATTGACACGTGATTAAGAAACAGAAATTAATGGAAACTGTCAGTTAATTCAGATAATCGCTGATAGGATAAAGTAAACAACAATTGACGAGTGCTGGTATGAACATTTAATCATGTCTCAACCTCCTGTTTAACATCTTAGGTTAACTTACCTTTGAGGACAAAGCATTTTTGCTTATTTATTCATTTTCATTCATTCATTTTTGTACTTACATGTATTAAAATGAACGTTAAGAGATTGCAAAAATAAAATATTTATATTGCAATTTCAAATGCATTCCCGTTTTCTTTCCTTAAATTATACTGCCAATAACATGAACAAACATGTAAAAAAAACCTTCTAATCCGGAAACCTTTATAATCCGAACTTTTCTTCTGGTCCAGACGAGTTCGGATTAGACAGGTTCCACTGTATATAAATAATAAAGGTATGTATTCAATTACTGAATAGAACTATTGCAATAACGGTATTTTCTTAACATGTACCTGGTAAATTCATGCTATCACAAAATTAGTAATAAATTTAATAAATTATATTTTCGCAAACATTTCGGCACCCCAAAAGTCCAATTTTTGACATAAAAATATCCACTTACACAGTATCTTGGGGCGTCCGTGGCCAAGTGGTTAAGAGTGTTGACTTCAAACCACTTGCCCCTCATCGCTGTGGGTCTGAATCCCAACAGGGACTTTATATTCTTTCATGTGAGGAAACTATCCAGCTAGCTTACGGAACGCCGGTGGTTCCACTCAGGTGACCGTTTGTGCCTTAAATTATGCACGGAAGGGCACCTGAGGTCTTCCTCCACCAGTAAAGCTGGAACGTTGCCAAATGACTTATACTGTGTCGGTGTGACGTAAAACCCAAAACAAACAAACAAACACAGTATCTTATTGGAGAAACCATTTGTCATGCTTTCCCATGCTTGTTTAACATTATATCATTTGACAGCTGAGTTATGTTTTCATTATAACACTACTAGGGCTGTCATTGCAGTATGTGTTTTTACATTGCACCCTGAAATATGTGAGCCGCGACATGACAAAACCAAAACAATGGGTTTGCGACCAACATGGATCCAGACCAGCCTGCGCAGTCTGATCAGGATCCATGCTGTTCGCTATCAGTTTCTCTACTTGCTATAGGGTTTTAAAGCGAACAGCATGGATCCTGATCAGACTGCAGGCTGGTCTGGATCCATGCTGGTCGCAAACGCATTACGTTGGTTTTGTCATGGCGAGGCTCATGTATATTATATAACGTGCCACAATGTTTTTATGCAAGAATGTTTGTTTTGTCATGATAATTTATTATTTTGGTATGCAATTTCTAAGGCTACATTTTGAGGTTACCTGAGCTAAGTTCTTTGAGGTAAATTTTTTTTATCATGATTTTCACAGTCCATCACATATCCATTAAAGACTAATTATCAATTAAAATAGAATATTTCTTATGTTTTGTATAATTTTCATAAGCTGTTTTGTATTAGTGCATATATAAATGTTGATATGAGCCGCACCATGACAAAACCAACATGAGTTTGCAACCAGCATGGATCCAGATCAGCCTGTGCATCCACACAGTCTGATCAGAATCCATGCTGTTCGATATCAGTTTCCCTTTTTGTTATAGGGTCTGTAAGTGAACAGCATGGATTCTGATCAGACTGTGTGGATGCGCAGGCTGGTCTTGAGCCATGCTGGTCGCAAACCCATTATGTTGGTTTTGTTATGGCGCGGCTCATATATTACTGTATTTGTGAAGACATAGTGATCAGATCTTTCCGTTTATTTGATTTTAAAAGTTACGAGCACAGCTCCAGTCAATAGAGAGTAGGTATAAGGCAGAAATAGAAGACTTGACTCAACTGTTGGCAGAAAATAGACGTAAATCTAAAGAGATGGAGGATGAACTAAGGAAAGAAATAGTTAGCTTGAAGGCCATCATTAAGGATTTAGAAGCCAGACTTGGTAAGGGTATCAAACTTTTGTAAATTTCACTTCACAAGAGCACAACATTGTTACTGTTTTTTCTGGACAATTCTTTCTAGACAATCATTTGAAAGTCAACACTTGTCTTTACATCTGTTCCTAAACCACTAAGTCATTATTATAGTGTTGATATGAGAGTTCTCCAGTGATCACCTGATAAAATGTGTCAAAAACTTACTAAGTCAATTACTTCAAAAGTTATAGAAGTTATGCCCCAGTACAAAAATTACTGTGCAATAGACTTGTTCTTTTTAGAGTTATATTTTAAAAATTCTTCTGAAATTAAAAAACCGATGATTACATTAATTAATAATAATAGTAATTTCTTAGAAAACCTTCTGGCAAATAGATGGATCAATAAATAAATAACCCACTGGCAGCGAAAGGGTTATCTATATTTTGTGAACTTTTAAACATTGTTACATTTTTATGACTTCTACAGCCAGGTTAGATGTTGGTAATGAGGAACTAGTCATAAAATTAAAGTCACAGCTACGTGAAACTCATCAAGAACTTGAAGATACAAGACAAATACTTGACAAACAAACAAAGGCTGGTGATGTCTTCCAAGAAGAGGTAAAATTAAAAAAAAAAAACTTCACAAAGAAAGAGTGAGAATATATGGAAAGTTGAAGAATCTTCACCTGGAAAGTGTGAGAAATATGTAGAATTTGTGATATCTGCTGGTGAGATTTTTCACTGAAAAAGTGTGAAATATATAAAATGTGTCATAACTGCAGGAAAAAATTCTTCATTCAGAATAAGTGGGAAATATGTAGAATTTGTAATATCTGCAGGTGAAGAATCTTCACCTGGAAAGAGTGGGAAATATGTAAAATTTGTAATATCTGCAGGTGGAGAATCTTCACCTGGAAAGAGTGGGAAATATGTAGAATTTGTAATATCTGCAGGTGAAGAATCTTCACCCGGAAAGAGTGGGAAATATGTAGAATTTGTAATATCTGCTGGTGAAGAATCCTCACCCCGAAAGAGTGGGAAATATGTAGAATTTGTAATATCTGCAGGTAGAGAATCTTCAACTGTAAAGAGTGGGAAATATGTAGAATTTGTAATATCTGCAGGTGAAGAATCTTCAACTGGAAAGAGTGGGAAATATGTAGAATTTGTAATATCTGCAGGTGAAGAATCTTCACCCGGAAAGAGTGGGAAATATGTAGAATTTGTAATATCTGCAGGTGAAGAATCTTCAACTGGAAAGAGTGGGAAATATGTAGAATTTGTAATATCTGCAGGTGAAGAATCTTCAACTTGAAAGAGTGGGAAATATGTAGAATTTGTAATATCTGCAGGTGAAGAATCTTCAACTGGAAAGAGTGGGAAATATGTAGAATTTGTAATATCTGCAGGTAAAGAATCATTACCCGGAAAGAGTGGGAAATATGTAGAATTTGTAATATCTGCTGGTGAAGAATCTTCAACTGGAAAGAGTGGGAAATATGTAGAATTTGTAATATCTGCAGGTGAAGAATCTTCAACTGGAAAGAGTGGGAAATATGTAGAATTTGTAATATCTGCAGGTGAAGAATCTTCACCTGGAATGAGTGGGAAATATGTAGAATTTGTAATATCTGCAGGTGAAGAATCTTCACCTGGAATGAGTGGGAAATATGTAGAATTTGTAATATCTGCAGGTGAAGAATCTTCAGAATCTCTGAACGCGTGAGAAATATATTGATTATGATATTAACAGGAAACTAATTGACATTCTTATCAATTTGAAGAATCTTCACTCAGAAAATGAGAAATATGTAGAATTTGATGTATCTACAGGTGAAGAATGTTTACTGAGGAAAGGTGTGAAATATGTAGAATTTGAAGTAGCTTAAGGTGAAGAATGTTTACTGAGGCAGGGTGAGAAATAGTTAGAATTTGATGTATTTTCATGTGAAGAATGTTTACTGAGGTAGGGTGAGAAATATGTAGAATTTGATATATCTTCATGTGAAAAATGTTTACTGAGGCAGGGTGAGAAATATGTAGAATTTTTATGTATCTTAAGGTGAAGAATGTTTACTGAGGCAGGGTGAGAAAAATGTAGAATTTGATGTATCTTCAGGTGAAGAATGTTTACTGACGTAGGGTGAGAAATATGTAGAATTTGATGTATCTTCATGTAAAGAATGTTTACTGAGGCAGGGTGAGAAATATGTAGAATATGATGTATCTTAAGGTGAAGAATGTTACTGTGGCAGGGTGAGAAATATGTAGAATTTGATGTATCTTCATGTGAAGAATGATTACTGAGGTAGGGTGAGAAATTTGTAGAATTTGATGTATCTTTATGTAAAAAATGTTTACTGAGGCAGGCTGAGAAATATGTCGAATTTGATATATCTCTATGTGAAGAATGTTTACTGAGGCAGGGTGTGAAATATGTAGAATTTGATATATTTTCATGTTCAGAATGTTACTGTGGCAGGGTGTGAAATATGTAGAATTTGATGTATCTTCATGTGAAGAATGTTTACTGTGGCAGGGTGAGAAATATGTAGAATTTGATGTATCTTCATGTGAAGAATGTTTACTGAGGCAGGGTGTGAAATATGTAGAATTTGATATTTCTTCATGTGAAGAATGTTTACTGTGGCAGGGTGTGAAATATGTAGAATTTGATATTTCTTCATGTGAAGAATGTTTACTGAGGCAGGGTGAGAAATATGTAGAATTTGATGTATCTTCATGTGAAGAATGTTTACTGAGGCAGGGCGTGAAATATGTAGAATTTGATATATTTTCATGTTCAGAATGTTACTGTGGCAGGGTGTGAAATATGTAGAATTTGATGTATCTTCATGTGAAGAATGTTTACTGTGGCAGGGTGAGAAATAAGTAGAATTTGATGTATCTTCATGTGAAGAATGTTTACTGAGGCAGGGTGTGAAATATGTAGAATTTGATATTTCTTCATGTGAAGAATGTTTACTGTGGCAGGGTGTGAAATATGTAGAATTTGATATTTCTTCATGTGAAGAATGTTTACTGAGGCATGGTGAGAAATATGTAGAATTTGATGTATCTTCATGTGAAGAATGTTTCATGAGGCAGGGCGTGAAATATGTAGAATATTTGATATGTGTAGGTTAAGACTGATCACTAAGAAGTAAAAAATAGTACAATGGAATATAATTATATAATGTTATATATGCAGATAAAGAATTTACAAGAGACTGTGCAGAAAGAGTGTGAAGAGAGGTTTGAACTTACAGAAGCTCTCAGTGCTGCAAAGGAGGAACTTCTGTTGTTAAAAAAACCTGCAGGTAATTCATTTATAATGTAATTGATATATCATACAGTGCTTTATATGTATTAATTCTGTACGGACTAACCTTAGGGCTAATGTAGAAGGAAAGTACTCTACATGACTCATTTGATATAAAGGTTAGGATTAGGCCTTGCTAGTTTTGTCCTGTTTTATGTTATTTGTTGAAATTTTGGTGCAATACTATATTAATCGGCTAAATGTATTAATGTTTTCTATTATATTCAATCTTCTCTAAAACTTACAGTAAATGCTTATGTAATGTATCCAATAGCTGAAATAGATAATGAATGACAGGAAGTGTTTTTATATATCTGTACATGAATGACAGGAAGTGTTTTTAGCTCACCTTGCACAAAGTGCAGGTGAGCTTTTAGGATGGCCAACCAAATGGCGTCCGTCGTCCGTCCACATTTTAAATATTCTAAGGACATCTTCTATGATACCGCAAGGCCAATGTTAATGAAACTTGGCAGGAATACTCTTTGTATGAAGCTCTATCAAGATTGTTCAAAGAATTCCATTTCATGCAGAACTCTGGTTGCCATGGCAACCGAAAGAAAAATCTTTAAATAATTTCTTTTAAAGAATCGTAAGAGCTAGAGCTTAGATATTTGGCATGAAACATCTTCTGATGAGTGTCTACCAAGTTTGTTCAAATAAAAGCCCTAGGGTCAAAATTGGCCCCGCCCCAGGGGGTCATTGATTTTCCCTACATGCATATAGTAAAAACTTAAAAAATCTTCTTTTAAAGAACCCAAAGAGCTAGAGCTAAGATATTTGGCATGAAACATCTTCTAGTGAGTGTCTACCAAGTTTGTTCAAATAAAAGCCCTGGGGTCAAAATTGGCCCCGGCCCGGGGGGTCATTGATTTTCCCTATATGCATATAGTAAAAACTTAAAAAATCTTCTTTTAAAGAACTGTAAAAGCTAGAGCTTAGATATATGGCATGAAACATCTTCTAGTGAATGTCTACCAAGTTTGTTCAAATAAAAGCCCTGGGGTCAAAATTGGCCCCGCCCCAGGGGGTCATTGATTTTCCCTATATGCATATAGTAAAAACTTAAAAAATCTTCTTTTAAAGAACCCAAAGAGCTAGAGCTAAGATATTTAGCATGAAACATCTTCTAATGAGTGTCTACCAAGTTTGTTCAAATAAAAGCCCTGAGGTCAAAATTGGCCCTGCCCCAGGGGGTCATAGATTTTCCCTATATGCATATAGTAAAAAACTTAAAAAATCTTCTTTTAAAGAACCCAAAGAGCTAGAGCTAAGATATTTAGCATGAAACATCTTCTAATGAATGTCTACCAAGTTTGTTCAAATAAAAGCCCTGAGGTCAAAATTGGCCCTGCCCCAGGGGGTCATAGATTTTCCCTATATGCATATAGTAAAAACTTAAAAAATCTTCTTTTAAAGAACCCAAAGAGCTAGAGCTAAGATATTTAGCATGAAACATCTTCTAATGAATGTCTACCAAGTTTGTTCAAATAAAAGCCCTGAGGTCAAAATTGGCCCTGCCCCAGGGGGTCATAGATTTTCCCTATATGCATATAGTAAAAACTTAAAAAATCTTCTTTTAAAGAACCCAAAGAGCTAGAGCTAAGATATTTAGCATGAAACATCTTCTAATGAGTGTCTACCAAGTTTGTTCAAATAAAAGCCCTGGGGTCAAAATTGGCCCCGCCCCAGGGGGTCATTGATTTTCCCTATATGCATATAGTAAAAACTTAAAAAATCTTCTTTTAAAGAACTCAAAGAGCTAGAGCTAAGATATTTAGCATGAAACATGTTCTAATGGGTGTCTACCAAGTATGTTCAAATAAAAGCCCTGGGGTCAAAACTGGCCCCGGCCCGGGGGGTCATTGATTTTCCCTATATGTGTATAGCAAAAACTTAAAAATCTTCTTTGAAAAAACCCAAATAGCTTGAGTTTAGATATTATACATGAAACATCTTTAAGTAAATATCTACAAAGTTTGTTCAAATAAAAGCCCTGGGGTCAAAACTGGCCCTGCCCCAGGGGTGTCATTGTTTTTAACTATATGTGTATAGTAAAAACTTAAAAAATCTTCTTTTAAAAAACCCAATGAGCTAGAACTTAGATGTTTAGCAATATGAAACATCTTCTTATGGGTGTCTACCAAGTCTGTTCAAATAAAAGCCCTTGTCTAAAATTGGCCCGGGGGGGGGGGGGGGGGGCTATATACAGGTGAGCGACCTCAGGGCCATCATGGCCCTCTTGTTATATATCTGTACATACATATTTTTTTGTATATTTCATGCATATTACGTCTAATAAATGCACAGATACATCCTGACAGTGTGATCTGGAATGATGTTTTTGATGTTAAACGGTTATTTTAATAGTAACTTGATCTGGCCATTTTTGAAGATGTTACTAGAACTGGTAACATTACAGATTGTATGCCTCATTAGATTGTCACATAGAATATTCAACTCGAGTTAAATGTATGTCACAGTTCAAGATGCTCTCATAATGACGCTTTTGTCACATGTCGTGACCTTTATTTAGAATATTCATATGAACATGTTAATAATACAAATGAAGTTAGAGATCACATTTCTGATGTATAATACAACTTGGACATTTATAATGTATAATACAACTTGGTTTACAAGGATGACCACAGTAACACTATAGCCATGCATCTTCCATTTAATAGAAGTCACAGTCAAGCATTGTAACTTCTTTACTGAATATCTTTGTTTATCCTTTTCTCCTTATGAAATCTGACCAGCTAATAGCATATTTCCCTCTGGCATTTTGTTGTACTAAGGATGTTTTAATTGTATGTAAATTGAAAAGTTTTAAGAAACAGACGTACCAAGGTCATTTTCGTTTTTCTCTCCATACACATAATTATGTATTGAGCATATTAAATCTGCATCAGTGACAAAGTTAGATATGTCTGGAATTTCAGTATGAAATTTTGATTATTCTCTTTTATGTAAGTAGATTTCTCGAAAGCTGCTTATATTAGTATCATAGAATCATAAGTTGATATTAGATAATGTTAAATGCAAGTGGTTTTCTTTCATCATAACAAAATAGTTGCTTTGTATTTTATTTATTACATTTTAGTATACATAACCTTATAAACTAAACAAAGTTTTTTTGGGCTTTATTTAGATCAGTCACAAAATGGTGGTAAGTGTCTCTAAATGTTCACCTTTTTTCTCCTTTCCGTTTATTTCATGTTTTTTTTTTTGTTTTTTTAATTTTGCTCCCTTGAGCATCAAGTGCTCCAAGGTGAGCTTTTGTGATAACTCTTTGTCACATAGTCAAAGATTGCTCTTTACAGCCAGTTTATAAGCTTACCAGGAACCTGAAAAAGATGTTCATATAATTCTCTATATCCATGCAATTGAAATGAGCACTGCTCTCGGGTCCCTTTTCTTTTTTAAATTTGTAAAATATTTATGATATCCTGCAGATTTATATGACAAAGGGTTTTATAATTTAAGCATGTATGATATGTAGATTGGATAAGCTAAGGTGACCAATCTAGGGCCATTTTATTTGTTTTTAGCTATTTTATAGATTAGATTTTTAGCTGTGCTTATTTTTGTGACAATCTTTTGAAGTAGTATAGTTTTTGCATGCTATAATTTAGTATTTATTTGCTCTAATTTAGTATTTATTAGAGCCTTAAAGCAAGTTTATATATTGAAATGTTAAGAAGTATGGAAATTTTAGGTTTAAATACTCCTTGTTTATATTCAATATTAAACTGTAATGGAGGGTTTGCTATACACCCAAATGAATTTCAGTGTATAATTTTATGCACCTGGTTGTCCATTCATCTGTCTATATGTTAGCAAGTTTTCTTGGCCGGTCTGTATTTTTTGAACCAGTGGAAGGAAATTCAAAGTACTAGGCAGAAATGTTAACCATAATGAGACGATGTGCTAAGGGGCAGATTTGACCTTTCTCAGGTCAAGGTCACACTTAAACATTTTGTTTCAATATCAAAAATTTTTGTCCTTTGAACCGATAAAAAGAATTTAAAACTTTTTGGCATAAATATTACTTATATAAAGAGACGCTGTGCAGAACACAGTTTTGGAATTCCTACAAATAAAATTGACCCCACCCTGGGGATTTATTGATTGATATAGACTTAAATAGCAGTTTTTGTGTTTAGTCTGTATATTTTGAACCAATGAAAAGAAATTCAAACTACTGGCAGAAATGTTAATCATAATGAGATGATGTGCAGAGTGCAGGTTTGACCTTTCACAGGTCAAGGTCACACTAAGTGATTTTGTTTCAATATCAAAATTTTTTGCCCGCTTTGTATCTTTTGAACTGATAGAAAGAAATTTACGCAGAAAACACTCTGATAATCTAAATGGATGCTAATGTATAAAAATAACTTTCTGATATTTATTGACAAAACAGTTTTGATCCATAACCTACATGTTTGACATTTTTCCAGAATTTTTTAACTTCTCCGTTGTTTTTCCTAAATGTCTCCAACACTGAAACCCTAATAAGTGAATTTGAAATAAACAAACTTCATCAAATTGTTATGATTAATTTAATTGCTGATCAAGTTCAAGGTCAATACAATGCAGCTTTAAATCAACAGCTAAGCGTATACACCATCTCAGTAGGCGCAAAGTGTTGCTTAGTGTATTATCAATATTATTGGATAATACCCGTCACATGTATACTTCTAGTTCATTTGCATACACTTTTTTTGCATACACAAAAACAGTTTGGGAAATAGAGTTTTTCACATATTAAAAATAAATAATTGTGTTTTGTGACATAATGAGGCGGCGTTCACTAAAAACACAATTACTTGGCAGGTTAAGTTGTAGTTTGATGAAAAGATTGATCACATTTAGCTGACTAATTAGCGGTCGCTGAGAAAATGATCGGGGGAATTTAGAGTGGTCGCATGAGACAAATGCACCTGGGTATCTTCAACTGGATTTATTCAGTATTTGCAGAGTTATTGTTCTTAAAAATATTTAGTAAAAATTTGCAATTTTCAACTTGTGTCACACGTAGCTCAAAAAGTATTTGACATAGGGTCATGAAACTTTACAGGAATGTTGATTAGCATGTGAACTTGTGTACCTGGAGTTTGGCTTGTGCATTTATATGTTTTGTTAGACTTATTGCCTTTGACTTACTGAAAATTTTCAATTATCAATTTGTGTCATGCGTAGCTCAAAATGTATTAATTTTAACCTAAAGTCATGAAACTTAACAGGAATGTTTGTCAGCATGTGTAGTTTTGCACCTAAGGTTTTTCTTGTGAATTTACCCAGTATTTTGTAGAATTATTGCCCTTGACTTAGTAAAAACCATTTCATTATGTTATGTTATTTGTTCCTCGAGTGCTTTACAACTTGTTCATGCATAACTCAAAAAGTATTTGACCTGTAGGCTTAAAAGGTCACAAGAATATTGGTCAGCATGTGTATTTATGGACTTTGGTGTTCGCTTGTGGATTTATTCAGTATTTACTAAGTAGTAAAAGATTTTTAGTTTTCAACTTGTGGCACAATTATAGCCCAAAAAATATTGAGTGTGGTGGCACCTGTGTCCTATGGATACATTTCTAGTACTTACTTAAAACAAATTTGCATTCGGGCATGTATTGCCAATCTATGCGGTACTCTTGTTATCATCTGTCATTGACTAGTTTCTAGCTAGCTGAAAGAGGGTTTCTTATTCTCTTGGACTGTTTGATTGTGTGTAAAATAATGCACAATTTGGTCCTAAGATGTTCTTACTGGAAAACTGAATAACTTGTTGTCTTTATTACCTTTAAAGTGTATGTGTGTTTTCAAAAAAACTCAGTCATTAACTTTAAGTAAATTAAATCAATTTAAATAAACTTGCATTTTTTATGTCAATCAAGAACTACTATTTATATTATTGTCAATTACTATTATAGTTTTGCTATGTCTAATTAATGTTAAATGTTTGAAGGTTGGAAAATATGTAACAGTAAGTAACTGATAAACTCATTGTCAATATTTCAGTAATTTTGTTTTCACTATGACTGCCTTTAAAGAACTTCAAATTAGGTTACTAATTTCATTAATAGTACAGGGATATAATTGAACAGAATTTTGATAAGATAAAGATATTCGTCTAATAAACTACTTGACCTTATAACTTGAATTGAAGTTTTGTTTTATCCAAGTGTGAACTAATGTTTGACTGGATTACTGGGCACTCTGGACCTCCCTCTGCATTGAACATAGAAATTATACGTTTATAGTGTAAAGTGGCATTATTGATAATACGAGCCACGCCATGACAAAATCAACTTAGTGTGTTTGCCACCAGCATCCGCGCAGTCTGAACAGGATCCATGCTGTTCGCTATCAGTTTCTCTACTTGTTATAGGGTTTGTAAGCGAACAGCATGGATCCTGATCAGACTGCGCGGATGGGCAGGCTGGTCTGGATCCATGCTGGTCGCAAACCCATTATGTTGGTTTTGTCAGGATGCGGCTCATACACTGTTTGCCACCCCAAACCTCCCTCCATATATGTAACCTTCAAAGTGTAGTCACACATAAAAGATGATAACAGTTTTGGGCACTGTGGATCTTCCTCGACCACTTAACTTTGAAAGTTTTCATATAACCAGTCTAGTGTAATGTGCATTGCATAAGATTGTAAAATGATATTTTCTGCAGTGTAAAAAGGAAGTCAAACTAAGTATTGGAATACTATATTTTGAATCAATTTATATCACAGTTTCTTTGGTTAAAATAATCCAATAATTAACTATTATATCTTGTTTTAAATATATATGAGCAGCGTCACGACAAAACCAACAAAATGGGTTTGCGACCAGCATCAATCCAGACCAGCCTGCGCCTCCGCGCAGTCTGATCAGGATCCATGCTGTTCGCTTACAAATGGTATAACAAGTATAGAAACTGATAGAGAACAGCATGGATCCTGATCGCAAACCCAATGTTGGTTTTTGTCATGGCGTGGCTCAAATGCTGTAACAGTTTGTATATAAAGCATTGATGATATAAGGGGTTTTTACAATGTTACAGGAGGGAGTGCAGGTAGGAGAGCCCACATGTTGCCTGCCCTAACAAGGAATAGGATAACACATAAATGACTTATTGTAAGAAGTTAAAACACTGCCACTTTTCCTTATATTGTTTGGGCATTTTAAGCACACCATGTACTTTGGTATATTAAGGTATGGTAAATCATACAGAACAATTAAAGCTGTCACACTAATATTTTATGTAACATGCACACACACAGTGAAACAGAATGCCGTCCTTCATATGCTCAATAACACTGTAAACTTTAGAAGTTATTACTATAATCAGATCTTGCAGAACTTTGCATAACTTCATGGCTTAATTTTAAGACACACTAATATACCATGTAAAATTAACGAGACTTATAGAAGCTAGGTCAGAGTTAAAACAATTATAAGATTATTATAATTGTGTTATCCACTGTTTGGTGTCATCATATAATTTAAATGTTCTAATTTCAAACATTCAGTTCATAAAGGTCTTGTATTGAATTTCTTTAATTGTTTTGCCAAATGTCATTTATGACATGTACACTGTTAATTGAGTGTTAACAAGATCACAGTGCTAAAGAATCATCAGAAGAAGCTCCTTGAAGATGAACATTTCAATGCAAATACAGAGTATGAAAAATGCATGTCATTTTTATAAAATAAAACCAAGATGCAAGGTAATTAAGTGCCAGGTCAATATTGTTGGACAATATCTTTTTTTCCTAAATTTGAAAATGTGAAAATTTAGAAGCAATGAATCAGATGAAGAATTGAACACATTGAATAGTCTATACTAAGTTTTTGTGCGCCACTGGGGGGGGGGGGGTGCATTTGTCCGTCCGTTCTCTTTTTGTGATGCATGTAGCTAAAAAAGTAATTGACCTAGAGTCATGAAACCTTACAGGAATGTTGATAAGAATGTGTAGTTGTGCACCTGGGTATTTTCATGTGGATATGTTTAGTATTTTTAGAGTTATTGCCCTTGACTTAGTAAAAACTTGCAATTTTCAACTTGTGTAGTTGTGCACCTGGGTATTTTCGTGTGGATATTTTTAGTATTTTTGGAGTTATTGCCCTTGACTTAGTAAAAATTTACAATATTCAACTTGCACGCAACTCAAAAAGTATTTGACCTATAGGCCTGAAAGTTTACGAGAATGTTGGTCAGCATGTGTACTTATGCACCTTTTGGTTTTCTTGTGGATTAAATCAGTATTTGTAGTATTTGTCCTTTACTTAATAAAAGATTTTTAGTTTTGAAATTGGGCACATGTAGCCAAAAAAAAAAATTTGACCTAGAGACATAAGATTGACAAACCGGTGGAGTGTGGGGGCACCCTTGTCCTATGGACACATTTCTAGTTTATGAATGCATTCAACCATAACTGTCTATAATTCTCTTAGATACAATTTATACTGTCTCAAATTATACTGTGAAATTTCATTGAATAAGGACTACAACTAATTTTATATCTTTCTGTTAATTTAGTGACACTTCTTCTTGAAATTCCAATTTGCAACATTTGTAATCTATTTTCCTACTAACACAGACGTTTATTTCATAATCTTATATTTTGCAATATATCTTATGCACTTTTAACACTTTGAAGATGAGCACAGTTTAGATATTAGTTTTAACTTAATATAATGAATTGTTGATTATATTTGAGGAAAAAAATCATCATATTCCTTGATTTGATTATAAGTAAAGACTTATATTGTATTAACATATACATGTTTTGTTGTATTTCATGGTCAAATTTTGTTTGAGTTCAACAGTTTATATAAAATCATTAGTATTGTTAGCTCAACTTTTGTTTTCAGAAAAAATAGAGGCATTGTAAAAGTCATGTTCAGGTGTTGCCGTTCCTGTCAGCAATTTTGTACCTTGAACATAACATTTTAAGTTCTTGGTGTATTGTCTTAATACATGGCCACAACAACCCTTGGGACATCACCTTTCAGCAGACCAGACTAACTTTGACCCTTATTCATAAATGACCTTGACCTTCAAGGTCAAATTTCTAAATGTTGCTTGTTCTTTCCTATAAGTGGCTATAACTTAGTTATTTTTGAATGGATTGTCTTCAAACTTGAACATTATAATATTTTAGGATATACCTTCAATTTAACCAGACAGACCTTGACCTTCATTTAGAAATGACCTTGACCTTGGTTAAACTTGAATTTTCACTGATTTTTGTTATAATTGACAGTAACTTCATATTTGACATAGTGATTGGCCATAACTAGTAGATGACCTCTATTGATTTTGGGGTCAAAGGTCAAGGTCACAGGGCCCTTATATGTCAGAATGGTTTCCTCTGATTATCTTGAAAAGTGTTCATCACAAAGTTTTTATATTTCACATAGTGGTTGGTCATAACTAGGAGATGACCCCTATTGAATATGGGTTTACTAGGTCAAAGGTCAAGGTCACAGGTGCATTAAATGTCAGAATGGTTTCCGCTAATTATCTTGGTCACTATTTATCATAAAGTTTAACCAAGAAATTAAATATTTACAGTAATATTGATATATTTATATTTCAGGAGGTTACTTAAGTTCAACACCTCGTCAGTTAACAAATATGTCACTTCCATCAGAGGAATCAGTACAGTCAAACACAAGTGCACGGCGAAGTTTTTCTGAACCACAACCTTCAACAAACAATAGACCAATAACTTCAAAACCACATACGTATGCTGGAGGTATGAAACGTGAATATACAATAACAAACAGTAATACAATGGTGTTCATGGGAGATAGTGCAGGGGGGACTAGGGCTGTAGGTGGAAGTACAAAAAGAACTGGAGGCACTCTAGCAGAAAACAGACGTAGAATCGCAGCCATACTTGGCAGGAAATAATGAAGATATTAGTTAATATTATGATATTATAATTATGTGTCATTATACTTTCTTTTCAAAAACATGGGAGAATTCCATTTATAAAAAAGGATGATGGTTAGAAGATGGACAACTGTACGAGCTCATACCAACATTCTTCATCTGTTTAAAGGAGTACTTGCCAAGGATGCTAAACACCCTTGTGTCACAAAATTTTTGAAGAAACCTGAATCATATTTGGATTTATTGTTTATATAAAAAAAATTCTTGTGATTATTATGTGTTACTATAAGAGTGACTTATGATCATAACAGTAATTGCTACACAGTCTCAGAGGATATCTCAGATATATATCTACTCTCTTAATAATAGAAAATGTTTTCCATGTCAAATATATGGTGTACTTTTTGTACTGTGAACTTGTGTGAACTTGATACAGTATAATAGTGCGATTTAAACATACTTATTTTAGCTTGATTGCGAAACAAGTTCTTGCAACTTATATTAATCACTTTCGAGTCCGCTTCCTGGAACCAACCAGTACTGGTGTCATATGAAGAAACATTGGCGTGACCCGAGTAGGGCTTGAACCCATGATCTCTGGGTTGAGAGGCAGACACCGTAACCTGACTAGGCCACCCCATTTCCTTAAACAGGATTTCACTCTATAGGAGGTCAATTGTAAAATTCTTTTCACTGAACACTGTAAAGAAGTTGTCATAACCAGCAGTTATTTTTTAGTCTAAATAGAAAGGCCTTTGTGATAATCTGTACAGTTTATGAACCCAAAAACCTTTATTTGTGAGCCAACCAAAGTTATGTGTGATTATTTTGACACTGTATATAAGAAATATAATCGGTATCAGCAGTGTTTATCAGCTATTAAACACCGGTTTTTAAGTTTTGATTGTAGGAATTGACCATGAAGGCCTCATGCCTGAGCCAAAGTGGTTAAATTTTGCGATAAATCAATGTTAAATAGCAGATAAACACCCATGATACCGGTATTATTTCAATTCAAACGTGACAAAATAAGGGGTATGACAAACGTAGAGTTTATTGCCACTGCCGACTTCCTTATAACGCTGTTTGATTTTGCACCCTTCTGTTGCTAAGATATAGAAATTAATAACCAAAAGAAATATACAAATTACTATAGATTTAGTCTAAATTAAGTGACTCCCTGTCTTACGCGACAAGCGACTGAGAAATCCAACTCCCAATTTGTCTGTTTTTACAGACTTTGATATGCTCCTGATTTTTTTTTACATGAAAAAGGTAACATTCTTTATCTGGTAGGGCCTTTTTCCCCTCTACTGTAGTTGGTTTCAAGCCAAATTACTACCTACTTTTCCCCCATATCGTCGGAAATTCCCCTGCAGTTGAAGATATCTACTATAAAATGAAAGTATTAAACCAATTAAAAACTTGTTAACAAATGCTTTTGTTAAAAAAAAAAAAAACGCAGTGTTTGTCCAATGAAAGGTAATATATCAATATACAACTAGAGGGATACTTTGATTCATTACAATTGACGTTAACTGTCAACCTCGGCCATATATTAAAATTTTTTAAGATCAGCATTGGAAAAACCCCGCTCACTCTACTTGGGAATATATTGACATTATGGCAACTGATTTATGATGTCACTAATGTAAATAAAAGTCACACAATTGGCGTTTAGACTAGTTAACAATTAAACAATTAAGTGACATTTGTAATACGGTAGTTTTTTAATATAATAAGATTTAATGACTTTTCTGTTAGTGCAGAAGTACCAAATACATGTATCCTCCCTCAAGCCCATGTCCGTTAACATGCCCAAGTGTTAGTATTACAGTAATAAATGAGCCTAGCACAACATGCCCATTGCCAGTAAAAGTGATACAGAGGGAACTGATAGTATTGTACCCTCTGAATCAAACCAAGAACCCTCACATTACCTACAAAAATTTTCTACATTGTACTGTATTTACAATCTGGGTGTATATAGTCGCTGCCCTGTCTGTATGTCCGTCAGTCCCTCCATTGTTTTGTCCGAAGCATAACTTGAAAACCCTTGGAGATAAAATTTGTTTAACCTTCACACAGTGGTAGAAGGCATTGAAACGGAGTGCAGTATCAAAGAACCATAACTCTATTATGCCCCGTTTTTTACTTATCTCCCCTTTTAGAAAAATCTTGTCCGGGACATAACTCTAAAACTAAAAGAGATATCAACATGAAACTTTGTAGGTAGATAGAGGTAGATAGATCTCAATCAGGGAATGTGCAGTGCACAAAAACCCTAACATTGCCTTGCCTAATTTTGGAGTTATTGCCCTTTGTTCACTTTACACTTTGAACTTTATCCGGGACATAACTCTAAGATTATAAAAGATATCAGCATGAAACTTTTAGAAAAATCTTTTCCGGGACAAAACTCTAAAACTATAAGAGATATCAACAGGAAACTAGGTAGGTAGAAAGAGCTCATTTGGTAGATATGCAGTGCACAAGAACCGTTACTCTGGCTTGCCTAATTTTGGAGTTATTGCCCTTATCAATTTTAACATTTTAAAATATATCAGGAACTTTAACTCTGAAACCATATAGGCATCAACAAGAAACTTTGTCGGTAGATAGTTCTCATTGATTAAAAGTCCAGTGCAAAGAACAGTAACTCTGCCTTGCCTAATTTTGGAATTATTGCAGGAACATAACTCTGAAACTACAATAGGTGTACTTTCCTGTGTCCAAAACCTGTTTAGGGAGCATCACCAGGTTCAAACCAGGCTCTTGTTTTCATAAATAGTATACATAATCAGTTCACACTCTAATCTTAAAAAGGGCCTATATACCATGTACATGTTTCAATGGAATAAGTCACTACCTAGCTTTACATGTATATGTATAAACCAATGTCCGCTGGTTTGGGAAGACTGTTTAAAGAGACACCCTGTCATATGTGTCCTTTTTAAAACAGTGTTGACTGTATTTACATTGGTGCTCGATTAATATTCGATTTATCCGCTAGAGGATTAAATCTTTTATTCAAATCTTACAACTTAACATTTTTTTTATTATAACACCCCAGTAGGGCCTCTTTTATTCCCAAGTTGTAATGTTTGAATAAACATTCTTGTCAGTTTAAAATGACATCATTATAGAGCCTTTATGAATGAGTTTACGGATAGGCGCTGTTTTGTCAAAAAAAAATATCAACTGATATGGATGTAGTGTTAGTGTATGTGAGATATTATTTCAGAATTATATGAACAGAAAACATAAGAGCAGAAAATATCAATAAAAATGCATTATTTTTGTTGCTTTAAAAGGCTTTATAAACTATATAATCAAGGGAGAAAACATAACAGCCACATATACAAGTAGTTCCTAACCAGTGTTTATTGGCAGTTTAACACAAATAATTTTCTTTGTGTTTAGTGATAAAATCACGAGGAGTGTTAGAATTGATAATAAACATGACTGACAACAATACTGATTCTGTTGGACTAGCACCTAGTCCAATTCAGGTTTGACAACTAACAGTTAATCTTCCTCTCTTGATTTCATGGCTTTGGTTTTTTGTTTTGTTTCTTGTTTTCAGCATGTTTTTATAGCATTGTTCAACAACAATTTAGATTTTAGTTATATTCAAAATGAGTAAATTTGGTCAGTATTCTATTCAGCAACTTTAATGAGAAATTTTACATTTGATATGCTGTATGATATTTATTATTCATGTTTACATATATACTGTATGTATAAATTAATTTTAGAGTAAATACTCTTAAATAAAAGAAAATGAGATGTATATTTTTGTTATGTTTAAATTACAAGTATAACAGAGCCGCGTCACGACAAAGCCAACATAGTGCTTTTGCGACCAGCATGGATCTAGGCAGTCTGTTCAAGATCCATGCTGTTCGCTTACCAACTCTATTACAAGTAGTGAAACTGATAGTGAACAGCATGGATCCTGATCAGACTGAGTTGATGCGCAGGCTGGTCTGGATCGATGCTGCTTGCAAAGGCATTACCTTGGTTTTGTCGTGATGTTTAGTAGAAGATACCTAAATGCCTACATTTTAGGCTTAAATGAAGGAGAGGTTTCTCAATAAAGTGAATATCAATTAAGGTAATAAAATACTGACCCAGATATTCCAAAAAAATTCATGGATTAAAGTTGATCACCTTTATATTAGCCTAGTCATCATTATTTCCACTTGAACCTTTACTTTGATTACAGGAAGTTGACTTGTTTTTGTGTTGTGGAAGTTTCCAGCCATAAAGTACTTTTTATAACGGGTCCTATTATAGTACCCCCTGGCGGGCGGCTTGGCCAGCTACATCCAATTTTTGTCCAGAGCATATCTCCTACACCCATTAAGGAATTTTTATGAAACTATAGAAATGTTTACCCCTATGAGAAGCAGTGTCATGCATATGAAACAGGTCTCTAGGTCAAAGTTACACTTAGAGGTAATAGAAAAGCGCTTGTCCGGAGCAAAACTTCTACATGCATAGCATGATTTTGGTATAACTTGGCACAAATGTTGTAAGGCTGAGTGTCGCATGCAAAATTTAGGTCCGTGTTGCCAAGGTCAAGGTCACACATAGGGGTTAAAGTTCAGATAGATACAGTAAAAACTCTGAAAACCGGACCCTGTCCGGACTTGACCAAAAGTCCGGTTTTTAGAGGATTCCGGTTTTCAGAGGTTTTATACATTATTGATTATTATTATGTGTTTGAACAATGATTTTGTTCAATCATTTTGTATTTACTTTTCAACACTTTTTTCTTAGTCATATTTTAATTTCTTTTTGCAATAAATGTCTTAAGTCATATTTTTATTTCTTTTTGCAATAAATGTCTTAAGTAATTTTATTATGCAAATCCATGTTAAATGTATATAGTTCAGAAAATCAGAAATTAAAACAACATATTGTCTGAAAGATATCTTTTTAATTGGCTTTTGAAATATGTAATTAATGGAATTTAGTATTAATATTTTGCATATAAAGAGTCTAATTAAGGTCAAAATTTTAAGCAAAACAGGAATCATTTAACAAAAGTTTCTCAATTCTGCTAGACATTTTATATTAAAAAAAATCACACAATTAATTTACAACATTTTGAAAAACCATGCCTATACAGGGAAAGAAACAATTATGATGGAAGAGCTTCAATTTAATTGCCAATTAGAAATTAACACACACTGACAAGTGTTTTCACACCTGCATAGATAAAAAGAAGGTGATCATTAATTGGTAATTGGACATGTCACCAGTTGAGATTATGTTTTAATCTACATTAAAATACACAGAAAGTTGACACTTAAAATTGCTGTCCGGTTTTCAGAGGATTTTTTTATGCATGTTTAGCATTAGAAACCATAGAAAATAGTCCGGTTTTCGGAATTCAGAGGTTCCGGTATTCAGAGGATTTTTTTTCAATGAACATATAAGGAGAATTTACGGGACTTTTAAAATGGTCCGGTTTTCAGAGGATTCCGGTTTTCAGAGGGTCCGGTTTTCAGAGTTTTTACTGTATATGGAAATGTGTATTCGGACCATTTAGTCATCATTTATTGTGGGATTGAAACATACATCAAATGGTCATTATCAAGACTATGGGTGTGAAACATGTGATCACAGGAACTTGAAATTCTATCAAATAACCAATATTTAATTTTAATATCCAAATTTTTTTTTTTAGTATATAGGGGGTGTATTTCGCATATTATCGTTAATAGTGATAGAATTTCAAGTTCCTGTGATGTAATCAGGTACGTATATTATTATACGTACCTGATGTAATTTAGGTTAATATATGCAAGGCAAGGTCACTATTAAAAGGTGATGAAAAATAGAGATCTTGTCCAGAGCATATCTCCTACACATATGGAAGGATACTAATGAAACTACATAGAAATGTTCACCACTATGTGAGACTGTGTCATGCGCATTAGCTCTAGGTCAAAGGTCAAGGCCACACTTAGAAGTTTAAAAATGCTTGTCCGGAGCAAAGCTTCTTCATACATCAAGGGATATCAATATAACTTGGCACAAATGTTCACTATTGTGAGGTGGAGTGTTGCGTGCAAAATTTAGGTCCCTGCGGCCAAGGTCAAGGTCACACATCGGGGTCAAAGTTCTGATAAAAATATGAAATTGTTTATTCGGACCATTAAGTCATCATTTATTAAGGGATTGAAACATATTAATGGTCATTATCATGACTACCATTGTGAAGCTAAGTATTGCGCACATAATCCAGGACCCTCCTACTTAAGTCAATGTCACAAAGAGAGGTATGTTTGTGTTCAGGGACCATTTAGTCATCATTTATTGATGGATTGTAACACAAGTTTTAACTATCATAACTACAAGTGTGACCCTTGTAATTTAGGTTAATATTTGCAAGGTCAAGGTTGCTAGAGATGATAAAATATCCAGATATTATCCTGGTATTGCCAAGAGCATATCGTCTATATGCATATCTATAATGATCACATCCCTGACGAAAGCTTTTGTGATGGGCGTATTTTGCGACAACGTTGCCCTTGTTTACAAATAAAATAAGAATCCATCATTGGACAAGTGCATAACTTTGACAGAACGCAGATATATATATATATATATATATATATATATATATATATATATATATATATATATATATATAATATATATATATATATATATATATATATATATAGCTGTTCAATATTACTCACCTTTTAAAGGAACTTGGTCCAAAAAAGTGACTGACACATTTTCTTGCTTTCTTGTAAATTTCATACAATTTTCTAAACCTTTTCATTTTTAGCTCGACTATACAAAGTCCGCGTCCGCTTCCAGATTTCAGGTTAAAGTTTTGGTGCAGTAAAATATTTATAAAATTTCAAATATATGTTCCATATCATCAACCACATCTTATGTGACAAGGGTCATAACTCTAGCACCAATATTTCAAATTTATATCCCCTTGAACTTAGAACTTTCCTTAAAAAATACGATTTTTTACTGTAATTTCTTTATTTCTTAAGGGATCGACTTCATACTTCAAATATATGTTCCTTACCATCAACGACATCTTTGTGACAAGGTTCATAACTCTAGCACAAATATTTGCAGATTTAACTCCCCCTGAACTTAGAATTTTCCTTAAATTTTTTTTTTTACCAGATATCAGCTTCATAATTTAAATATATGTTCCTTATTATTAACAACATATTCTGTGACAAGGTTCCTAACTCTAGCACCTATATTGCAAGAATTATTTCCCCATAAATTTAGATTGTTTTACTTTAAAAATGTTAATTTTTACTATTTTAAAGGTATTTACCTAAGACTTCAAATACTTATTCCTTATCATCAAATACATCTTATGTGACAAGGTTCATAACTCTTGAAGTAATATTTTCAGATTTATCTCTCTTTGAACTTTATCTTTTCTTCTTCTGTAATACATGTACAGTAAAAGAATGTAGGACAGAACCCCACTCGTCAAAACCCCACACCTCAAAATTTTATAGAGTGGACAAAACCCCACACCTGAATTTCATAGAGTGGACAAAACCCCACACCTGAATTTCATAGAGTGGACAAAACCCAACACCTAATGGTTTTGTCCACTCTATGAAATTCAGATGTGGGGTTTTGTCCACTCTATAAAATTTTGAGGTGTGGGGTTTTGACGAGTGGGGTTCTGTACATTTGTTATAAAACCATACAATTCATATAATTTTGATCTTGTTAGAAAAGAACAAAACAGAATATATACTAAAGTTTGATAAAGTTACTTAAATTATTTTACATATTTCATTTGATCATGATAATTAATTATGGTATGTTATATTTTATTTTGGTATACAATACAATATGATTAAATGATTATAGAGTATTATAGTATCAAACAACAAAGGTTAGAGTTTTAAAAAAATGTGACATTGTGTAGTGGATTGCAGGTGAGCGATCTAGAGCCATGATGACCCGTAGGGTTAGTCAGGATTGTCACTACAACAACATATAAACCTTGCACATAATGTATGAAGTATAATCGGGATAAAGGTGGACATGACTAAATAAAGAGGAGCACTATGATTTCTGGATAACTGAGGAAGTAGTTATCAACAATTTATAAATGAGGTCTCCAATGTTCCAAATTTCCTTATAGAAACATATCTGTGTATTCACACGGAAGCGAATAAAATTGAGATAAGACACTTTCACCTGGTAAGATAATATTTGACCTTAGACACAAACCATAACGGTTTTAAGGATAATTTGTTGAGGTAAGATTTTCTGTCTTTGTTGCTTATATTTATCTACGTACATAAAGTGTCTTTTAGTAAATTACTACTTTTTAGTTGTGTTAAAGAAATGCCGTTGAAAAATCCTACATATGTTTATACTTCTTTTTCTTCGGTCTTTCTTTTTTTCTTTGACTAGTAAATGATATGCAAACATGTTTGGATTTTATAACAGAGCTTGTCTGAGAAAACTTCTTTTTATAACTTGAAAAAAAAATTATCTCGAAAAATATTTTCTTTAGTTTTATCATGACAGTCCTAATATGACCTTCCATATTATCATTGATAAATATTCTATTGCGAAACATAGTGTGTTTGTCAAAATTCAAAATAAACGGCTATATCATTTTTTAGTTTTTAAGTAAAGAAAATGAAAAAAAAAAGAATATTAAAATAAATATTAGAAATAAATAGATAAACAAGAAGAAAAAGAAACTAGTTTTAAACAAAAATCTTTCTCTCGAGATTTTTATTGACTCAGCCTTCACTTGTTTTAGAATAAATTAAACAAGATTGACTCGTTTTGTGACAATAAATTGAGTAGATAAGCCTGTGTTTTTTATACAATAAGCAACATTTTTATTAAGTTACCAGTGCCCCAAGTTTATTTCCTACATTATACCGCCTCCGTGGTCAAGGGTTAGAGCCAATGACTTCTAATCCAGTTACCTCTCTGGCGTGTGCTCAATCCCCGGGAGATGCTTTGGATGTTTAGCACGGAGGATGGTAGTCTAGTACTGTTGTAACTCTCCAGGAACGATGGTTAGAAAACTACCCGCCTATATGACTGAAATACTGTTGGGAAAAGGCATAAAGTGAATCAATCAAACATTTCCTCCATTCTTAAAGACGCATGTTGTGTTTTTGTTTCTCCGTCTTTTATGACAGTAGTATCTTCCATCAAGGGGAACACTTTCATTTTTTGGCGAAACAAAAAAAAAAAAGAATAAACAACATATTGTGGCAAGGTTGCATATATAGCCTGTTGTGATTCTCTTTTCCACAAATGTGTGGTTATCCACCGGTCCATTGCAACCAGTCAATATTCACCGATGCGACTAGGTTCCATCAGTGATTCTTCATAGGTCGTAGCGTTTGTTTCTTTTATTACGGCTTTATGTATCGTCTTTCGCTGGACTTTTTACTTGTTCTCGTGGTAAGGTCTCTGCACCAGCCATTAGTCTCTAGAAATCGTATGTTAGGCTCACTTGAGTAAATCATCCTTTTATAAAAAATGTAATATAGCAGGAGGCTTGACATAAAGCAGTGTCCAGTTTTTATTTTGATCTTCAAATTTTAACTATCGGTAAACATTTGTATGTGAAATCAAAATTTGGCAAATCTAATCACCTATTTCAACTCTGATTTATGTGACTTTGCTTGTAATGGTTATAAGTGCCATCATGACCTCGTTAGAAATTATTATATAGAGGATATTGAATGAATGGAAGTTCAATACTGAATTTATTGCACGAGTTGAATAAAATTATATTATGCGAGCCTCTGGCGAGCAAAATATTATTTTATTCAACTAGTTCAATAAATTCTGTGATGAACTTACACGAATTAAATATTCTATTTATCACATACCCAAAATAAAGGCCGTTATAAGTGAAAAAAATTCATTTTTTACTGACGCTCCTATAGTATAACGCTATCATTTAGTGCATCTTTATTCTATCTTTGTATAACGCTAATGACGTCACGTCAAAATATATGCACGGCCGTGCAATACCATTTTTACGGAGTCGCAAAATCGGCACGGGTATAGGTGATAAACACCGGTTTTCGCGCTTGTGATATTTTCTACGTTAATATGCCATAATCAAATATTTTCGTATTTTTAGTTTTCCAACCATGAGGTCAAGTTATTACATATCAGTTTTTGTATTGTCGTTCGTTGTGAGCAGTGTTTCTGCAAGCTGTATCTGTAGTAATCATCCAACAAGATTTATTTATAATTGTGATGACGATACCAAGCAACCATTCAGTTCCCTACAATACGACGGATTAGACTCACATTGCTTAGTTGAAGTAAAAGGTCTACATGTCAAACCAGGATGGAAGGCCGGTTTATATGTGTTAAAAGATATGGTAATCAATACATATATAATAAATATACATGATAATTATCGATGAACAAAATGACTTTGAATGCTAAAAACTGCAAGGGGACAATAATATATTAACTTTGTTTACGTCCCATATCGAAGTGCAAAAATAGTTCTCTGTTTAATTTGTTGGTACTCGTGTTTATATTATACTGTAGAAGTAAGGTGTTCGTGTCATCAGCCGTAATAAGATAATAAGAGCGAGACATGTCTTCTGCTTGCTTAAAGGCTAAACAGTCAAGATTTCATAGAAGAGTCTAAGTTTGTAGATTATGATGTTTGCGAATTGTTTATTCGATGTTGAAGAATATTACTTCTAAATGGAATGACCAAAATTTAAGCACTTTCTTCAAAACTTAATTAACTAAAAAATAGCATTATTGAGGCGTATATCTTATCATTTGGCAGATGAAATGAAACATGTACAGTTATTTTATAATGCATATATAATGTCGAATTTTGATTATTGCTGTACTTATTTGGAGCAAAGGAAATTTAAGATCGTTAAATTAGCGATGTAATTTTCATACTGGAATTCTTATTTATAAAGCTTGTAATAACCTAGCCCCATCTTATATATCTGAAATTTTGACTTTCTCCAGCAATGAATTTCACAATTTAAGATCAGCATCACATAATGACGTAGTTATACCTAAACACCACACAAACTATGGTAAAAAGACTTTTTGTTACAATGGTGCAAAGATTTGGAATAGAATACCATCTAATATACGTTCTTCTGATTCTCCCACATCCAAATAAGTATAAAAAACAGATCAAATAAATATCTTCATAACTCTGTCATTATTTCATTATGTTATAATACTTATCTTATCATGCATTTATATTTGAATGGTAAGATATTTGTATATGAAAATTCAATAAATTATATTTAATATCTAAAAGGAGCGTTTTTTTTAAAAAAAAGATAGGACGAAATCTTAATGGAATAGTTGTTATTGTACAATTATTGACTAAAGTGAGCCATTGTTCAAATATGATGTGATATTCAGCGGCAGATGACATATTGACCGAGGCGATAGCGATTGTCGGATTCTAGTCAATCATTGCTTTGTTATATGAATAGGCTAAGAATTAAAAGGAAAGTCACAAAAGTACAACCATATACATGTACAAATTTTGCCTCGTTGAAGCACGGGAAAAAACGCTCGTGTTAGGCGTGCACGATTATGCGAACGCTGCGCATACAAAAAATAATTCAAGTTTATACTCATCATTGAGGTGTAGCCTTTAAGTATAACAGTTAAATAATGGTATTCTAATAGAGAAATATGCCATAAACAGTGATAAAGAACAAAACGCAACATTTATTTTTTAATTAACACGCGTAATTAACAAATACGAGTCTCAATCAATGTTTAGACTGGGAAAATCCAATTTAGCCAGTGAATAGACCCAGTACACCCAGTGAATATGATTTTATAAAAAGTCATGTTGATTACTGTTTGGACCAATGAGATTGCAGCTATATTTGGATCTTATAATATTATTTTTTATGATATGATCTAAATATAGCTATCGCCTCGGTCAATATGTCATCTGCCAGTGAATATCACATCATATTCAATGATTGTACATGTATAGTCAATAATAGTACCAGTCAAATTGTATAAAGATGTTTTGTGTTTGTATTTCATATAAATTGATAAGAATGCCACATTTACAATAAAGATATTTATCTGTTTTATACAATAGTATATTTATGTGTTACCTTCTTTAAATTAATATATTATTATCATTATGTTATAGAATTATCAACGGGTTGTTTACATCAAAGAGGATGCTGAAGTAGTAGGACAGGCTAACTGTGCCAAATCACGTCTTACAGGTCAACTTTCATATACGTATATTATTTCGTTAAAAGCTTGACAAAACCAACATAATGCGTTTGCGACCAGCATGGATCCAGACCAGTCTGCGCATCCGCGCAGTCTGATCAGGATCCATGCAGTTCGTTATCAGTTTCTCTACTTGTAATAGAGTTGGTAAGCAAACAGCATGGATCCTGATCAGACTGAGCGGATGCGCAGACTGGTCTGGATCCATGCTGGTCGCAAATTATGTTGGTTTTGTCATGTCACGGCTCATATATTGTATTTTAACTCAATTTACTGAAAAAGAAAAACTCCGTTCAGTCAATGTAGATAAAAAGTGATTTTTGGCCAATACACTATTTCCTTGCTCTTCTTTTGAATACATATAAACTGAGAGATCAACTGTTTAACATTTTGATGAAGTGTTTTTATTCTAAATTTGATCAAAACTAACCGATTGTACGTACATAAATAAACGTTTGGTATTTAAAAAATAATATTTTCATAAATTGTTTTAATTAAAACAATCAATTGCAACTGGTTAATACATAAGAATTGTGTCATACATGGGCCTTCGAACTACGTACGGGGGAGGGGACGGCATCCAGTATCTCTATATATATAGTAAGTGCACTGTGCTCACAATTAGATTTGTATGATTAGCAACAAATCAAGAACATTTATTTAATGCTTAAAGAAATGTGTGCTTTTTCTTGTCGGTAGCGACAACACAACAGAGCGTCAAACAGCGCGTTGTCGCACTGTGGTCTTGTCTCTAGCGCCAAACGACGCGTTGTCGTTCGGCGCGATGTAGCCCTGTCGCTTGGCTTATAGGCCAATCCTTCGATTTGAACCGAGCGACAATGTGACATCACGACAACACGCCGCATGACATCGCGCCATTTGGAGTGCATCGTTAGCGACCGGACTAAAAGACGAAAGTCCGACAACGCTCCGTTTGGCCTTTTGTCGTATTGTCGCTAGCTCGAACACGACGCCAGAAGCGTTCCAAATCAGCCAACATAGGGAGAAGTGGGTAGATTACCGTTATCCCTTACCTGTAAGGAGCGAGCTTTAAATTTTAAGCTAAAATTATGATGGCTGATTTGGAACGCTTTTGTACGTCGTGTAGGCGCTAGCAACAAAACGACAAAGCAACGGGGCGTTGTCGGATTTTTGTCTTGTCGTTCTGTCGCTAACGATGTACGCCAAACGGTGCGTGGTCGTGCGGCGTGCTGTCGCGATGTCACATTGTCGCTCGGTTCAAATCGATCGCAAGATTAGCTTATAAGCGAAGCGACAGGGCGACATCGCGCCGCACGACAACGCACCGTTTGAAGTGCTTCGCTAGAGACAGGACGACAAGACGACAGCGCGACAACGCGCCGTTTGGCGCTTAGTTGTGTTGTTTCTAGCGTCAAGACGAAAATGCGATAACGATTAGGTTGCGTTGTCTCTATCGACAACGCAAAGCGCAATATAACAAATCAGCCACCATAAAAATATGAAAATTATGTTATGTATAGAGATCTTATTGACCACAATATAATGGTGGCTGATTTGGAACAGCCAGTGACATCACTTGTCACCCTTCCGTCTTGTCGCTTGCTATGTACGCCAAACGGCTTGTTGTCGTGCTTAGTGTTGTCGCGATGTCACAATTCTTGCTCGGGCTGATTGTTTTGTCCACTCTATTAGATTTAAGTGTGGGGTTTTGGTCCACTCTATAAATGATGAGGTGTGGGGTTTTGACGTGTGGGGGTTTGTCCGTCTTCCGTGTATACCATGTGATGTTGTGGCATTAGTTTTTTTATAGATTTAATTATTCCTTCACTTGTATACAGATTTTCATTTATAAATTACACTTTTCAGGACCTGTGAATATTGAAGCGAGCTGTCACCCAGAGGATCACAATTTATTGAGTATACGATTGCTATTATTTATCTTTTGTTAATGTTTATCTCATAAATTATCCCTTGATAATTATAGAGCTGGTACAATTGCCTGTAAATATTTACATATGTAGATAGATGAGGAAACATCTTCTTCAATGTTTATTTTATATGTAAATTATCTGTGTATAAATAATTATATAACATCAAGGAGAATATCACATGACAGAATGAGGTTCATTTCAGATCCAACGACACCCGCACCGACAACATCTACACCCACACCGACGACATCTACACCCACACCGACGACATCAACACCAGCACCGACAACACCAACACCTACGACTCGTGAGTCATTATATTGTATCATGAAATGGCATACATGTATATACACGTCTTTTTGAGTTTGTACAGTGGTTGAAACATTTCATTCGTAACACCTCGCTGAATTTTAACGGATACATTTAGTACTGAAACTACTTAAGTAAAACTGTTTTGAGACTTAATACGGAATATCGTTAGGGCCATCGTGGTTATCATGTATAATCCAGAGGGCGACAATGCGATAGTGCGATAACGACAAAACGACAGTGCGATGAAGACATTGCGATAGTGCGATGGCGACAATGCGATAACGCGATGACGACAGTACGATAATGCGGCAATGCAATAGTGCGAAGGTGACATAAGATAATGTGATGACGACAGGGCGATAATGCGATGTCGACAGTGCGATAATACGATGACGACAAAACGATAGTGTGAAAGTACTATCGCACTGACGTCAACACGGTATCGCACTGTCGCATTATCGTACTGTCGTTATCGCGCTATCACACTGTCGCCATCGCATTATCGCATCGTCGTCATCGCTCTGCGTATTGTCGTTATCGCACTGTCGCATTGTCGTCCTCTTGATTATATAGTGTTTATATGATAAAATATTTTTTGTTTGTTTGTTTCCTTTTTCTTTTTTGTATACTTAAAACGTCTGCAGTATATACAATTATGAATCAATAAAAAGTTCAGACGAAAATGATGTTATGTTGACATTAAAAGATGCAAAAATGTAAAAATAATCGTTTATTACTTATATAAAAAGACAATAAAATATATTCAATGATCAAATTACAAGAAATATGTACAAAAATAAATTGTAATGGAAAATGATAATGATGATTATGCAAATTTGAACATTTTTTGTAAAATACAAAATAAAAAGATTCCTTATATTTAACTGGTCAGTAGTACATATTTTTTCTCGGCAAATACAAAGATAGTTCATTAATAAATCTAACTGGTTAACACTGGTCACAATATAAATTTTGCTAAAATCACTTATGTTATACCTTTTAAATTGAAATTGGTCATCAATGGTTTTATTGTTTTGTAAGATTTAGAATTTGTAATATTACTTACATTGTTAGAAAATAAGATGTTTTCATAATTTTCTATTTAAAAACCTAATTTATCAATATCTAAGATGGGGCCATTTTTGGTACTTGGTGAACCTAGCGCTTTTATTTTTCTTAAAGATAGTAAGTGAGTATCTTTTGTATAAAAAAATGCTGGTCAGCTAAGATACTAGTATACTAAATTCTGTGTCCACCTGTTTAATATATAGCCAAAGTGATTTTAACTGCTGATGTATAGAGGAAAATGATATTTGCCGTGAAATACTAATTCATTTTATAATGTTAGTAAATATTATCTTGAAATTGCTTTGTGTTTTATGACATATTTTCTTCTTGTACTATTTGGTCAGCTGATTTAACGTACTGTGCATTATGCTGACCTGTAAAACATAAACATGTATAGCCGAATCTGCTGATAGTAGAATTTGTTGACCAGTTACACTTACAGTGAAAACAGTTACCGTAGAATGATTTGATATATAGATATATATTTTTTTGCCGTGCATATCTTACTTATACATACATTGTATATTGTAATGTAATTAAATATAACAGGTTGTACACCTCGTAAACTAATAAAACCACTGCTTAGCAACCTAAATATAAAAGAATTTAACCGTATTTTCATCTTATACTACCTGGTCAGCAGATTTAACGCACTGTACGTCATTCGATAAAATGCTGACCAGCTACACGTATAGTAGAATTTGCTGACAAGTTACACATACAGAAGAATCTGCTGACTAGTTAAACTTAATGAAAATTGTGATCCCTTATAAGATATATAGAGAAAATTATGTCTAGACATAAATTTTTAAATATAGATATTTTATTACATTTTCCGTGTGTTTTATATATAACTCTTTAAGTATTTCCCCTATCTCTTTTTAAAGATTCACGCAATTTATTACATTTTCCGTGTGTTTTATATATAACTCTTTAAGTATTTCCCCTATCTTTTTTTGAAAGTTTCACGCAATTTATTACATTTTCCGTGTGTTTTATATATAACTCTTTAAGTATTTCCCCTATCTCTTTTTAAAGTTTCACGCAATTTATTACTTTTTCCGTGTGTTTTATATATAACTCTTTAAGTATTTCCCCTATCTTTTTTTAAAGTTTCACGCAATTTATTACATTTTCCGTGTGTTTTATATATAACTCTTTAAGTATTTCCCCTATCTCTTTTTAAAGTTTCACGCAATTTATTACTTTTTTCCGTGTGTTTTTATATATAACTCTTTAAGTATTTCCCCTATCTTTTTTTAAAAGTTTCACGCAATTTATTACATTTTCCGTGTGTCTTATATATAACTCTAAGTATTTCTCCTATCTTTTTTTAAAGTTTCACGCAATTTATTACATTTTCCGTGTGTCTTATATATAACTCTTTAAGTATTTCTCCTGTCTTTTTTTAAAGTTTCACGCAATTTATTACATTTTCCGTGTGTCTTATATATAACACTTTTAGTATTTCTCCTATCTTTTTTTAAAGTTTCACGCAATTTATTACATTTTCCGTGTGTCTTATATATAACTCTAAGTATTTCTCCTATCTTTTTTAAAGTTTCACGCAATTTATTACATTTTCCGTGTGTCTTATATATAACTCTTTAAGTATTTCTCCTGTCTTTTTTTTAAAGTTTCACGCAATTTATTACATTTTCCGTGTGTCTTATATATAACACTTTTAGTATTTCTCCTATCTTTTTTTAAAGTTTCACGCAATTTATTACATTTTCCGTGTGTCTTATATATAACTCTAAGTATTTCTCCTATCTTTTTTAAAGTTTCACGCAATTTATTACATTTTCCGTGTGTCTTATATATAACACTTTTAGTATTTCTCCTATCTTTTTTTAAAGTTTCACGCAATTTATTACATTTTCCGTGTGTCTTATATATAACACTTTTAGTATTTCTCCTATCTTTTATTAAAGTTTCACGCAATTTATTACATTTTCCGTGTGTTTTATATATAACTCTTTAAGTATTTCTCCTATCTTTTTTTTGAAAGTTTCACGCAATTTATTACATTTTCCGTGTGTTTTATATATAACTCTTTAAGTATTTCCCCTATCTCTTTTTAAAGTTTCACGCAATTTATTACTTTTTCCGTGTGTTTTATATATAACTCTTTAAGTATTTCCCCTATCTTTTTTTAAAGTTTCACGCAATTTATTACATTTTCCGTGTGTTTTATATATAACTCTTTAAGTATTTCCCCTATCTCTTTTTAAAGTTTCACGCAATTTATTACTTTTTCCGTGTGTTTTATATATAACTCTTTAAGTATTTCCCCTATCTTTTTTTAAAGTTTCACGCAATTTATTACATTTTCCGTGTGTCTTATATATAACTCTAAGTATTTCTCCTATCTTTTTTAAAGTTTCACGCAATTTATTACATTTTCCGTGTGTCTTATATATAACTCTTTAAGTATTTCTCCTGTCTTTTTTTAAAGTTTCACGCAATTTATTACATTTTCCGTGTGTCTTATATATAACACTTTTAGTATTTCTCCTATCTTTTTTTAAAGTTTCACGCAATTTATTACATTTTCCGTGTGTCTTATATATAACTCTTTAAGTATTTCCCCTATCTCTTTTTAAAGTTTCACGCAATTTATTACTTTTTCCGTGTGTTTTATATATAACTCTTTAAGTATTTCCCCTATCTTTTTTTAAAGTTTCACGCAATTTATTACATTTTCCGTGTGTTTTATATATAACTCTTTAAGTATTTCCCCTATCTCTTTTTAAAGTTTCACGCAATTTATTACTTTTTCCGTGTGTTTTATATATAACTCTTTAAGTATTTCCCCTATCTTTTTTTAAAGTTTCACGCAATTTATTACATTTTCCGTGTGTCTTATATATAACTCTAAGTAGTTCTCCTATCTTTTTTAAAGTTTCACGCAATTTATTACATTTTCCGTGTGTCTTATATATCACTCTTTAAGTATTTCTCCTGTCTTTTTTTAAAGTTTCACGCAATTTATTACATTTTCCGTGTGTCTTATATATAACACTTTTAGTATTTCTCCTATCTTTTTTTAAAGTTTCACGCAATTTATTACATTTTCCGTGTGTCTTATATATAACACTTTTAGTATTTCTCCTATCTTTTGTTAAAGTTTCACGCAATTTATTACATTTTCCGTGTGTTTTATATATAACTCTTTAAGTATTTCTCCTATCTTTTTTTGAAAGTTTCACGCAATTTATTACATTTTCCGTGTGTTTTATATATAACTCTTTAAGTATTTCTCCTATCTTTTTTTAAAGTTTCACGCAATTTATTACATTTTCCGTGTGTTTTATATATAACTCTTTAAGTATTTCTCCTATCTTTTTTTAAAGTTTCACGCAATTTATTACATTTTCCGTGTGTTTTATATATAACTCTCCAAGTATTTCTCCTATCTTTTGATATAAAATGTTACTTTTATTAATCTATGATTTTATTTAGACGTTTTCAGTATACAAACAAGAAAACAAAAAAAAAAACAAATAAAAAACAAGAAAGAAATCTGATGACAAAAGTAAAATCATTTTCCCATATTCTATCATGTAAAACACTATATAATCCAGAGTGCGATAGTTCGATGACGACAATACGTGAGTGTGATGACGACAATGCGATACCGCGATGGCGACAACGCGATAGTACTATTGCACTATCGTATTGTCGCTATCGCATTATCGCAAGTTTCACATCGCATTGTCGACATCGCACTATAGCATTATCGTAATGTCGTCATCGCGTTATCGCACTGTCGCCATCGCACTATCGCATTGACGTCATCGCACTGTCGTACTGTCGTCATCGCACTGTCGCATTGCCGCCCTCTGGAATATATAGTATAACCACGTTGGCTCTAACGGTATTCCATACTTAAACATAAGGAAAACTAAAATGGGTGATTATGGCATCAAATTAAATGTATGTTTTAAATAATTTATCTTATTTTCAGCACAAACTACAATGGGAACTGTGCCTACAATGAAGCGTAAGTTGATACATATAGTTACTTTCATCTGCTCCTATCGAAGTGATTTCCTGTCTTATCTCATTGCAAATGAGCCGTGTCACGACAAAACCAACATAGTGCGTTTGCGACCAGCATGGATCCAGACCAGCCTGCGCATCCGCGCAGTCTGATAAGGATCCATGTCGTTCGCTATCAGTTTCTCTACTTGTAACGAACAGCATGGATCCTGATCAGACTGCATAATAATTATTCATATTGTAAAAAAATGACCCAAAATGAAAAGCGTTTAAATGCTTTTCACTTGAATCAGGCTAAGAAAAGCATAAAAATACAATTTTAAATTTATTTCAAAGTATATTTCTTAACTATCTTGTTTAAAGCGCCCCAGCTCATTTATGTAAGAAATCCAAATGTTATGTTTTTGGGCTTTAAAACCTTTAAGTCACTTATAAGATTATTTCACAAATTTCTAACAACAACAAATGCAAATAACAAACAAACTACCCTTACTAGCTTTTTATATGATAAATAAATAAATAATAAATAAATAAATAAATAAATAAATAAATAAATAAATAAAAATAAAACGAAATAAAACGGCTCTTCATGAAGTTCTTTAAAACATTTCTTGCCATTTTAAATAGAAGTAAAAAAATCACTCTGATAATTATTTTCTCCAGACAACTCTTGTCAATTTGCAATGCCTAGTAGCTACTAGTCAAGAAAAAACACTCATACGCATTTCGAAAAATGTATGTTATTGCACAAAATACTGTCTTTTGTTTTGTTATTCGGCAGCTTCGACTATATGCAACTCGATTGACATGCTCAATCACCTAATACTTCAGACGTCTGCAAATCACCCTAATGCCAAGTTTTGTGCTGGAAGTAACACACACAGTGGTAGTGATGCTCTCCTACTGGCACATTGTAATCCTAGATCTGCACATTATCGTAGATGGAAAGCTGGTGTTAAGGTATTTACATTGTAATCCTAGATCTACACATTCTCGTAGATGGAAAGCTGGTGTTAAGGTATTCTCATTGTAATCTTAGATCTACACACCCTCGTAGATGGAAAGCTGGTTTTAGGGTATTCTCATTGTAATCTTAGATCTACACACCCTCGTAGATGGAAAGCTGGTGTTAAGGTATTCTCATTGTAATCTTAGATCTACACACCCTCGTAGATGGAAAGCTGGTGTTAAGGTATTTACATTGTAATCTTAGATCTACACACCCTCGTAGATGGAAAGCTGGTGTAAAGGTATTCACATTGTAATCCTAGATCTACACATTCTCGTAGATGGAAAGCTGGTGTTAAGGTATTCACATTGTAATCCTAGATCTACACATTCTCGTAGATGGAAAGCTGGTGTTAAGGTATTTACATTGTACTCTCAGATAGATCTACACATTCTCGTAGATGGAAAGCTGGTGTTAAGGTATTCACATTGTAATCCTAGATCTACACATTCTCGTAGATGGAAAGCTGGTGTTAAGGTATTTACATTTTAATTCTAGATCTACACATTATCGTAGATGGAAAGCTGGTGTAAAGGTATTTACATTGTACTCTCAGATAGATCTACACCTTCTCGTAGATGGAAAGCTGGTGTAAAGGTATTTACATTGTAATCCTAGATCTCCACATTATCGTAGATGGAAAGCTGGTGTAAAGGTATTTACATAGTACTCTCAGATAGATCTACACACCCTCGTAGATGGAAAGCTGGTGTAAAGGTATTTACATTGTAATCCTAGATCTCCACATTATCGTAGATGGAAAGCTGGTGTAAAGGTATTTACATTGTAATCCTAGATCTACACACCCTCGTAGATGGAAAGCTGGTGTAAAGGTATTTACATTGTAATTCTAGATCTACACATTATCGTAGATGGAAAGCTGGTGTAAAGGTATTTACATTGTAATCTTAGATATATCTACACACCCTCGTAGATGGAAAGCTGGTGTAAAGGTATTTACATTGTAATCCTAGATCTCCACATTATCGTAGATGGAAAGATGGTGTAAAGGTATTTACATTGTACTCTCAGATAGATCTACACAAACCCTCGTAGATGGAAAGCTGGTGTAAAGGTATTTACATTGTAATCCTAGATCTCCATATTATCGTAGATGGAAAGCTGGTGTAAAGGTATTTACATTGTACTCTCAGATAGATCTACACATTATATTAGATTGAAAGCTGGTGTAAAGGTATTCTCATTGTAATCTTAGACCTACACATTATCGTAGATGGAAAGCTGGTGTAAAGGTATTTACATTGTACTCTCAGATAGATCTACACATTATATTAGATTGAAAGCTGGTGTAAAGGTATTTACATTGTAATCTTAGATCTACACATTATCGTAGATGGAAAGCTGGTGTAAAGGTATTTACATTGTAATCTTAGATATATCTACACATTATATTAGATTGAAAGCTGGTGTAAAGGTATTTACATTGTAATCTTAGATAGATCTACACATTCTCGTAGATGGAAAGCTGGTGTAAAGGTATTTACATTGTAATCCTAGATCTCCACATTATCGTAGATGGAAAGCTGGTGTAAAGGTATTTACATTGTACTCTCAGATAGATCTACACATTATATTAGATTGAAAGCTGGTGTAAAGGTATTTACATTGTAATCTTAGATCTACACATTATCGTAGATGGAAAGCTGGTGTAAAGGTATTTACATTGTAATCTTAGATATATCTACACATTATATTAGATTGAAAACTGGTATAAAGGTATTTACATTGTAATCTTAGATAGATCTACACATTATCGTAATTGGAAAGCTGGTGTTAAGGTATTTACATTGTAATCCTAGATCTACACATTATCGTAGATGGAAAGCTGGTGTAAAGTTATTTACATTGTACTCTCAGATAGATCTACACATTATATCAGATTGAAAGCTGGTGTAAAGGTATTTACATTGTAATCTTAGATAGATCTACACATTATCGTAGATGGAAAGCTGGTGTTAAGGTATTTACATTGTAATCCTAGATCTACACATTATCGTAGATGGAAAGCTGGTGTAAAGGTATTTACATTGTACTCTCAGATAGATCTACACATTATCGTAGATGGAAAGCTGGTGTAAAGATATTTATATTGTACTCTCAGATAGATCTACACATTATCGTAGATGGAAAGCTGGTGTAAAGGTATTTACATTGTACTCTCAGATAGATCTACACAATATCGTAGATGGAAAGCTGGTGTAAAGGTATTCATATTGTACTCTCAGATAGAGCTACACATTATCGTAAATGGAAAGCAGATGTTAAGGTATTTACATTGTACTCTCAGATATCCACATTATCGTAGATGGAAAGCTGGTGTAAAGGTATTTACATTGTACTCTCAGATAGATCTACACATTATCGTAGATGGATAGCTGGTGTTATGAGTAAGATACAATCTGGAACGCACCTAATGTAGATCTTCTGTAGATCTCTTGTCTGTGGTGCTTCTAGATTGCTGATCGACCTCCATCATCAGCATGGTGCTCGCCGTCATTGATATTTCGGCTCTTATCCATGTATATCTGCTGGCAAGTGGGCCCACCGTCTTACGGTGTGGAGGTCGATTGCTTCCAGCTCTTCTCCTTTCGTCTCAGCCACAGCCAGCTAGACGCACGCTCGGCAGCTTGGCTCAGTCTCTGGATTGTCCTACGTCTATCCCTTCCAGTAGTTCCTATCGCTGTCATCAGTCGGCACACAGATTGCGAACAGAACCCTCGCACACCTACTTCAATAGGAAACAGCCATGTATGCCAGCCTCTCTGTCTACATTGGTTGAGTAGCTCCGTATACTTTGCTTTTTTCCTCTCGTAGGCCTCTTCACATCTTGTCTCCCAAGGTACTGTTAACTCGATCATGATGAGTTTCTTTCCTTTTTCAGACCACAGTATGATATCTGGTCTTAAGTTGGTCTGGACAATACTTGGGAAAACAAGCTTCTTGCCAAGATCCACCTCCATGTTCCAACCTGTTGCGCCATCTAGAATTGATGGTTGGTGTGGCGACTGTGTCTTGGCAGTTTCACCCGGTTTTACAAAGTTAATCTGACAAAGCTTGGGGTTACTCCTTCGTTCCTTTTTCCTTTCACCTTCAAGCCAGTCAGCCACCTCCCTAAGGACGTTGTCATGACGCCATCGGTACCTTCCTTGTGTTAGTGCAGTGGAACAGGAAGAAAGAACATGCTCCAGAGTGCCAGGACGATCGCACAGGTCACATGCTGGATCCGTTGTAAGTCCCCACCGGTGGAGATTAGCTGGGGAGGGTAAGAGGTCATGGACTGACCTGATAAGAAAGGATAACCGTAATGGTTCATACTTCCATATGTCTTCCCAAGTCAGCTTCCTGTCTATGGTGTTCCATGAAGTCCATGCTCCCTGTGCTCCCATCTCTACTGCTCTAGCCTGTCTTGCACTCTCCTCTGCCCCCCTGACTTCTGACTGAATCATGGCACGTCTCTCCTTCTGGTCTGCCTGGTTCCACAGGGGTGTCTTGGTAGCACCAATTCCCTGTCGTCCCACAGCGGTTATTCCCACAATGTCCTTGAGCTTAAGTGAGCTTTCAGCCTGGTTAACGGTCTCTGATGCTGACCACTTCCTGCCTGTACGGGTTACAATCCCTGCTTCCCGGATTTGCTCATCTGGGGAATCTCTGAGGGTGAGCACCAATCTTGTCTTCGCTGTCTTGAATTCCTCTACCAGTGAAGAAAATGGGAGTTGAAGCTGATTGCTCTTTCCATACAGTCCTACACCGGAGAAACTGGGTGGTATTCCTAACCACTTGCGGAGGTGTCTGCTTGTAATCCTCTCTAAGGCTTCAATTTTTGAGCTTGGTATCTCGTACAGCATCATAGGCCAGATTAGCCTTGGAAGTAAGGCATGCTGGTATAACCAGGCTTTGAACTTCCCAGGGAGATTGCTTTTGTCAATTTTCTTCAGCCCGTCTTCCACCTGGGTTTCTAGCTTCTTGACATTGTCACCATCTTGCAGGCTTGCATCAAACCACTTCCCTAGGCACTTGATTGGACTCTTAGTGATAGATGGGATATCCTCATTAAGGTATTTACATTGTAATCTTAGATAGATCTACACATTATCGTAGATGGAAAGCTGGTGTTAAGGTATTCTTTTAGTACTCTCAGATAGATCTACACATTATCGTAGATGGAAAGCTGGTGTAAAGGTATTTGCATTGTACTCTCAGATATTCACATTATCGTTGATGGAAGACAGATAATAAGGTATTTACATTGGAATCTTAGATAGACACATTATCGTAGATGGAAATCTGTTGATAAGGCAATCACATTGTTATCTTAGATCTACACATTATTGCAGATAATAGATTTCATAGGTGTTTAGGTTTTCACAAAATAACTAGTCACTTGTTTCTTACAAAACATGTGGTGCAAACATGTAACAGACATGGAGAGGTCGTTACTACTGTCTACCAGTTGGTCTGAAAATATATGCTATGGAACGCCGTGACTGTCTTATGTGATCAATATTTTTGCTATCTTGTGAAACGATGATATTATTTTGTCGTTTGCAATCGTACAAACATCCTATGTCATCTCTCAAAGTGTAAAATTTTCCAGGTGATAGATAATTGCTCAACGTTAAATCAGGGAGACCCTATTGGTTTGTTTATCAACGGGAGACCTATCGGTGAATTTGCAGCTTTCTGGAAATGCAAAGCTAACTCATTTGAGGTATATACATGTACATAGTTTAACTTCTTCTTTTTACGTAATGTCTAGGAAAAGAGACTAGACTTATTTTCTAATTCGCTTTGCTTAACCGAAAATTATTTTTCACCGTATAAGAGTTATGAAACATTCAGTCTTGGACAGAATACAACAACACTACAGTAAGTTTGTACATTACGTGTGAGAAACACTCATTTAAGATGTTGAAACGTAAACAAAAACAAATAATATGAGAATTGAAGAGACATTTCAGGAGATCAAGAAAAGTGTAACATCTCAAGAGTGACTTGAACACATTGTTGTTATGATTTTCATTCATATTCAAATTCAGATAATCTACCAGACATGTGGGGATCATGCCAAAGTGTGGGATTCCAAGGACCCTCAGTTAAAGTTGAGTATTAATGCACTCTTCACAGTAATATTGTAGATATCTCTGTAAACCTCGATTGTGGTTATATGTAGAGAAAAAAAAATAAAAAGCATAATATTACGATTGTTGCATGTTTCAATTTTGTGTTCTAATAAACTCTTACATGTGTGCTCAACTAGGTATTTTTGGAAGGCAAATATCCCGTCGTTTCCAATTGCATAGGCCTAACAACTACAATATAGTTCATTGCTATTTAAGTAATTTAGAACAAACTCTTTCAAATAGGAAATTCTAAAGAAAACTTGTGAAGATTATTTACAGCCGCTAGAATTATTCCGGGCGCATACAGTTGCATACAAATACCTGATCCGTACAGAAGCTAGGGTGGTAACGTTACTATAAGAGATATTTGGTCCATCAGATCTCGAAAAGTTCTAAACGATATGTACGATAAAACGAGCGCTCAACACTGTTGTATTCCTAGAAAAGATTTCGCGCGTTTTAAGTTAACGCTTTTCGCGGTAGGCATGATTCCGCGAATCTTTATTAGCCGCGAATATGTCACTTACAACAAATCCGCGAACATTTCTAGCTTCAACCAAATATAAACATAAACGTGCAGAATTTTTATTATAATCTTACTTGCGGATACATACGGGGTTTAATATATATATTCTGTCTGGAATCTTAAATCAGTAACAAGACAAAAAGAGAGACAATTCAGCTTTTCAAAGGAAATATCCTTTTTTTATGACTCCTATTATGTTATGACTCTTTTAAATTTTGAATAGCAATACTAATGGGCATTAACACATTGAGAATAAAAGTATCTGTCATTGTTTTTCTTAACTTTCTCAGGAAAAATGAAACTATTTATAGACTGTTATATTATATATGTTGGGCTGTTACTTGCAGTCCATGGTCGCATGTTCAAAACTTATGCTTAGTTTTATTACCTAATGGGTAACGATTTAGCTTCATATGAAGCGACCATTGGACTTTGTAACTGTAGAATTCAAAAGCTTCACAAAAATGAATTATTTCTATCTCAATTATTCCCTTATATTTCGACTGAAAATTTCTTTGCTTTACTTATTACTCTCAAGTTATATTTCAGTATCTTTATACGGAAAATTCTAACTTGCGTCTTAAATCTAGAATTTGTAATTTTATTAATGATATTATTGATAAATTCAGGAGACGTTGAAATGAATCTGGGTCCTCTAATTCAAACTTCTGATTAAACAAGCATATCAATTCTGCATCTCAACATCAGGTATATTAAAAACAAACTTGATTTTATAAAGGAAAACATGTTAGACTACGATATTCTTTGTTTTACTGAAACACACCTTACAGACAGTATAGGAACCAATGGGTTATTACTAGAGAGTACACACACTTGTGCTATCGTAGAGATGTAACTGCTCATTCTAGCGGAATTTTGAATTATGTATCTGAAAATTTACTTTCATGTAGAAAATGCATTCTGTGGACGCAATATGTTTAGAAATCAAGTTTCGTGCAATTTCCTTTTTACTTTGTTGTGTATATAGAGATCCCAGTAAAGCCGTCGCTTTCTGGAATGATTTTGGAATAATGAGTAACATTGCTTTAGATAAACATGAAAACATAGCAATTGTAGGTGACATAAATGAGAACCAACTAATAGACAATACCTATCTTAAACAAATCATGCTTTTATACAATCTGACAAATGTTATTTCGTCACCAGCTAGAGTAACAAATTCAACATCTACACTTATAGACCCTGTACTCATATCTCATGGTTTAATATGTTTACATCGTGACGTGTTACCAGTTCCGTCTAACATTAGCGACCATAAAGCAACAAACATATTTTTAAAATCTCCTTTAAGATGTCATAAAGCAATAAAAAGAAAAGTTTGGTTATACAATAAAGCTGATTTTAATAGTTTAAATACTAATAACTGTATATCAAAAACAAAATGGAATTTTATTAATAATACGAATATTGACGATGGTGCAGTTCTACTTACAGTGGGAGACTTCTAAATTTATGTTCTTAGCAAATATAAATGACACCTGCCAATAGAAAAAGGTTACACATGTTTAAGAGTTAAATATATTTTTGGTTACTTGGACCTTGACCCAAATGACCCCTAACTCAAAACGGATGAAGTTGACCTTAGGCTTGTCCAAATTAAACTCAGATTATTTACACCAGAAACCTTGACATTGACCTTAGTAATTGCTTACTCCACAAAAAGTCAGAGAACCATTGAATACATTCACCTTTCTAATATGAAAGCTATTATTTTTTAAATGAAAAAAATTAAGATAAACCCAACTTGCTGGAAAAGGCTGACCATACAAGGCCCTATTTTCAAAGTGGTAACTTGGGAAACTGAATGGCACATTTATATAACTAGACAAAATCATGAACTTTCTACAGATAATTGTGGAAAATATGAAGCCATTAATATAGAACTTCAGATATATCCAACTTGCCGTTTTAGGTTACTAGTTTAAATAATATTTTATTTATAATCCACAAATTTACATAATAAAGTAAAGATTGTAAAGCTTTTTTGAAAACTCTCTCCGTATTTTAGGTAAACCATATCTGTTTTCAGAGTGCTGAAAAGGACAATAACTTGGTAAAAATGGAAGTCATAGTTATGTAATTTGTCCCGATCATGAACTTTGTAATGATTAGTAAGTGTGTATATTATGAAGCCATTGGTACAGGTAGAACTGAAGATAAAATCGAAATTGCCGTTTAATGTTAACCTCGTACGAACAGGCGGACGCACAGACAGACGCACGGTTTTGTCGTTTTGATGCGAGAAAATTAACCACTCAGGCCTACGGCCTTCGTGGTGAATTCCTACCGCATCAAAACGCCAAACCAGTGTTAAATAGCCGATATACACGTGTTTCACATGTTGTTAATTGCGGCGGATCCACTGCCTATATATATAATTATATCTGTACAAGAAAGTGAGCGATAGAAGAATGTTCGTCCGATGCTCAGGAGAGTACATATTTAGATGCTCGTTCATTGGTTACTTTTTTCTGAGGTTTCATATTGCGACAACAGGGAACGTGTTTTTATTTTTGCCTATGATACAAAAGAGTTTCTTATTGCGACAATAGGGAACGTATTTTTATTTTTGCATATGGTACAAAAGAGCTTTTGTAGACCAATAGCCACAATGATATTGTTATAAACCGTGCGCATATTTGATATATATCTCACAAGAAAAGCATTGTTGCAAAGCATCAAAGGGCGTCCAAGCAAGAAATTCAGCATTGAAGATGAACAAGTAGACATCTGATGACCAGATATTCTTATAAACTTTTCAATGGTTAATTGGTTTTTACCAGAATTGTAAATCAGACGATAGACATTGTTCATCATGAACTTTGGTAGGCATGCTAGAGATTAGAATATTTTTTTTTCCACAGGAACTTGAAATTATATCAATATTAACGATAAAATATACAGGTATATTATATCAAAAATATAACCCCCTATATGGTATAAGTTTATTTATACTATTTAGAGTGTATTTTTGGATATCATCATTAACATTGGTTATTTGATAGAATTTTAAGTTCATGTGGTATTTTCGTTGGAACATACAAAATAGTAGTCAAAATGAACTAAGTCTGTTAATTGGTTTATTGGAGGGTTTAATGAATTACTTCAAAAACTGACCCACCCGTGTGTTTACATTCCCATTAATAAAACCCATTATAACGAAAGTTTCTGTTGTTAAAATGTCACAATGTCACAATATTCGACAAATCAACATTTCGCTCAAAAAAGCAAAGACAATTTCAGAATGATAAAACAATTCGTAAAAAATGGCATACTTAAATTTTTCTATTGATTTATAAAGAGTGCAATTAATTGTTTAATATGTTTGCATTTCATTTCCTGCAAAATTCTCCAGTTCGTTATTCATTGCATATGTTTGCATTTCGAAATTCTCCAGTTCGCTATTCATTGTACATATCGCGACCTTCTATTTTTGATAATCAAACACCCTCATACCAATCGGAATGATCGGCTATTGTGACTGACGAAAAGGCTTGAGAAGTTACACTTGCCCTTTCACAAAATCTGATTTCGACGTATTTCCGTGATGGAAATGTCCACTGTCGCTTAAAGACAATAATTTCGTTTTAACATCTCCAGATGATATCTTTCATAAGTTAAATGTAAATGTATCCGAAGATATGCTCCGAGAACTCGGCCTGGAGAATTATCTATAGGATGTCGTGGGGAATGGGTCAAATTTCGACCAGAATAGTGTAGAGGATGCGAACTTTAATGACGATTCACAGAACTGTACCTCAAGTGTTCTTCATGAATGTATTTCTGACAGTATTTCTCCTCACAATGTATTATTTGATCATGCTTATCATATTTCTAGTGAAAATTCAGTACTAAAACTAGCTTATGTAAATGTATGTGGTATTACTTCAAAGTTGCGTAATCCATACTTTATTTCTTTTATTCATGAGTATGATATTGTTCACTTTGCTGAAACAAAATTAGATTGTTTTGATGACCCTATTGTTGATGGGTATGCTTTTGTGGGAAAGACCCGAGATATTTATACAAATAGATCTGGCGGTGTTGGTATCTTTGTTAAAAATTCTCTTGTGAATAATTTACAAATCTTGGGAGTTAAGTAATGAAAATTGTTTTTGGTACAAACTAAAAGATTCTAATAATATATTTCCTGTAATATACATACCTCCTGAGGGTTCTAGATATAGCTCTTTAGAATTATTTGATAAATTAGAAAGTGATATTTTAGATTTAAATGTACAATTTGATAATCCCCCTTTTACTTTATTTGGAGACTTTAATGCTAAGACTAGCAAATTGTCTAATTATGTTATATTTGATAAATATGTTGCTGAACAGAACTTTGATAATAATATAGATCAGTGTATGTCTATAGGTAATTTAAGTAATTTTTGTATTCCATTTGAACGTTTTTCTGAAGATTGCAACAATGTAAATAATTATGGTCATCGTTTGCTAGAATTATGTAAGACTACAGGTCTTTTAATTGCCAATGGTAGATATGGTAAGGACACCTGTATTGGTAAAAATA